TTTATTCCCATAGATTTCCCTGTTTTTACAATTGTTTACATTCACTTATTGTATCTATCTATTACGTGTACTACACACCTTTACAAAATTTCTATAAACTATCGCGAATTCAATTATTGAGAAACTTAGGAAATATTACTATGTTAGTTTATACACCATCCTCCTCTATTGTCCATTTTACAACCGATAACTGAATACTATAAAATTCATACATCAAATATAGATGATTTTGTTAAACTTGATACCATGGAAACAAAAGTGATTACAGATATTTACAGATGATAATTAATGGTAGTTAATCGCTGCTTGTAAACATCTTGAACATTAATTACTTACGCCTGTTACTCCCAATGGAGCATAGGCCGCCGACCAGCATTCTCCATCCCACTCTGTCCTGGGCCTTCTTTTCTAGTTCCATCCAATTCTTGTTCATTCTTCTCATGTCTATCTCCATTTCCCGGCGTAATGTGTTCTTTAGTTTTCCTCACCTCCTTATACCTTGAGGATTTCATGTGATGGCTTGCCTTGTGACGCAGTTCGGTGCTTTCCTCAATGTGTGTCTTATCCACTTCCAGCGCTTCTTCCTGATTTCTTACTCCAATGGAGTCTGGTTTGTTCTCTCCCACAGTGGGTGGGTGGTTGCTAATAGTGTCCGGCTAATGGATTCGAAGTATTTTGCGTTGACAACTGTTAATAAACACCTGTATCTTCTGGATAAGGGGTTTTGTAGTTCTACAGGTTTCTGCCACATACAGTAGAACTGTCTTCACATTTGTATGGAAAATTCCGACTTTGGTGTTGGTTGCCAATTGTTTTGAGTTCCAGATATTCTTCAGTTGTAAATATGCTGCTCTTGTTTTGCCGATCAGTGCTTTCACATCTGAATCAGATCCACTGTGTTCATCAATGATGCTGCCCAAATATGTAAAGGTTTGTACATCTTTCAAATCTTCTCCGTCAATTGTGATTGGATTGGTGCATGCTGTGTTGTACCGGAGAATCTTGCTTTTCCCTTTGTGTATATTGAGACCTACTGCTGCTGAGGCTGCTGCTAATCTGGTCGTCTTCTCCTGCATTTGTTGTTGTGTGTGCGATAGAAGAGCCAAGTCATCTGCGGAGTCTAGATCGTCCAGCTGCATCTTAGATGTCCACTGTATCCCGTGCTTCCCTTCAGATGTTGACGTCTTCATGATCCAGTCGATCAACAGAAGAAAGAGAAAGGGTGAGGGTAAGCAACCTTACCTAACACCGGTCTTTACTTCGAACGACTTTGTCAACTGTCCTCCATACACGATTTTGCAGTTTAATCCATCATAGGAATTCTGTATGATATTGACTATCTTCTGAGGCACGCCGTAGTGTCGAAGAAGCTTCCATAATGTTGTTCTGTCAACGCTGTCAAATGCTTTTTCGTAGTCAATGAAGTTGATGTGGAGTGATGAATTTCATTCAATTGATTGTTCCACAATGATCCGTAGAGTTGCGATTTGGTCTGTATACAATTTATTCTTACGGAATCCTTCCTGTTGGTCTCGAAGTTGTGCGTCTACGGAGTCCTTCATCCTGTTTAACAATACCCTGTTGGAGACTATTCCTGGTATTGAGACAAGAATGATTCCCCTGTAGTTATTACACCTGCTGAGATCGCTTTTCTTTGTTATTTTGATCAGAAGTCCTTCTTCCCAGTTTGTTGGTACTTGTTCTTCATCCCAAATCTTTCTGAAGAGAATGTGGAGTATCCTTGCAGTTGCCGCTACGTCTGCTTTCAGTGCCTCTACTGGAATGCTGTCTAGTCCTACTGCTTTGCCAAACTTGATTTGTCTGATATCCATGCTGATTTCTTCAATTGTTGTTGGGCCAGCATCGATTGGGAGGTCCGTGAGTGATGCTTCGATGTTGGGTGGGTTCAGTGTGGCTGGTCGATTCAAGAGTTCTTTAAAGTGTTCTACCACCTATTTCGTTGTTCTTCAATGTTGGTGGTTATCTTGCCTTCCTTGTTTTTCACTGGTCGTTCTGGTTTACGGTGATTTCCAGAGAGTTTCTTTGTTGTGTCATACAGTTGTCTCACGTTTCCTTCTCTTGCAGCCTTTTCCGCCGTCGTTGCTAAGACTTACACATATTTGCGTTTGTCGGTTCTGATGCTCCTCTTCACTTGCTTGTTTACTTCTGTGTATTCAGCTTGTGCGTTGGCTTTCTCTGCTATCTTGAACATATTTTTCTCATATTCACGAATTAAATGCCTATAAAACTGGAATTTGTTGTAATATTTCATATTACGTGCTGACAATTTACTACTTCAATCAAACGTATGGTTTCGTATAAAGCAAGTATTATTCTTATGTTAGTGCATGTTTGGTGAATAAAAAAATAATAACTTTTCTGTCTAATTGGAAAGAAACATATTTATTTATTCAGTCCGTAATTAAGTAGTGGTTACTAATCCATCAAAGGAAACATTCTATTTCTTTAGTCTAAAAGCAGCGAGTAACTCATCGGATTTGATATGATTCTTGACATTAACCGTACACACACTGTTGTCACAATTGATTGATCACTGGGTGACCAATGTCATGCGTGTCTAGTCCTTATTATTAGTGCAGATCGAATGCTATCGATCATGTTGCAATGTGTCCATCAGTCTACGTGACTCGACACTGCGGGCACTATTGTGAGATTAGATGGTGATTGGAGGTAGTCGACAGGAAACCCTGGACCCGGGTTTCGTGCTACTTGGCACTCGTCAGCAATGTGTACCTGTAATCTTCGAGGGAACTGGTGCTCCCTGGCGGATTCGATCCCGTGTCACTCAGCTTCACAGTCAGAGACGTTACCACTGAGCTATCCGGGCCACGACCGACTGTTGTAAATCCATTCCTAATAAAAACTTGTCTCATTTTCTGGTTAAATAAAAGTTAATGAAGACAAATTGTGATAATAAGAATAACAATAACTAAATCTCATAAATACTACATATATCTGGCGTTGTTTGATATTTAATTTAATGGCTGGTTAAATTGGAACGTACTTGTGATTTGCTTAGTGACAAAATATAACACTACTTTAAAGAAGTAACTACTATAATTAATCTGCAGTCTACCTACTTTCGATTCCAATATATTTTATACAAAGAATTCTGAAATCATATATTTTACGTTTTAGAATTAAATAAGATACCGTAAACCTTATAGTAACGATCCATGACAAAATTTTCTGTTTAACTTACGTAATCTTCACTGTAATCACAATAGTTTAATGATTTTCTGAACCTGCTAGTTTACTTAGAATGCAGTTGGAAAAGCTTTTGTAAATACAGTTTGATACTTTTCACTTTCTTCCATTGCCTGATATCGTGACTCTTTGTATGTACGGAATGATTCAAATTTCAAGGAAATGCTCAAGTCCAGGCTATAATACATAAAGTATTGATTATTTTCCGACCATATTCAATGGTTATATATTAAAATAATCAGCGATAACGGAAAAGACGTAACTTTTTTATTTTTAATAACAGTAAGCGTTGTATTTTGTCCTACATAAGACTTATCAGTTGAACGTACCAGATATTGGTTTGCAAGCAGGGTGTACTGGACTTTATTTACAATGTAAAGGATCAGTAATCTAGTTCAGTGTCAGGTAGATATAATTTGCCATTTGTCATCACTGCATTGACCGTATGTTTTAATTTTCAGACGTTACAGATTCAGCATTGATTCTTTTTAGTAATTGTTATATCATAACCTATATGTTTTACACACTAATGTGATTATATCGAAAGATTTCGTCAATACAAACCACCAGAGATTGTTTTATTAACATTCTGCTTTTAAAGCCTTATACAAATCGTCTCCTACCTAAACCAGTGTAGTGAGTAGAACACAAGTTAGGACAAACCCGTTTTGCTTGGAACAAAATTACAGTTACTTCATAAAATAGAAAAACCATACTCTAATATTTAATTTGTAAAATGTTCATTAATTGTCTCAGACTTCATTGTTCCTGCATTTTCATACCAATTACTTTCTATTCCCATTCTTTCCTTTCTGATCTTAATCTTCAGCTGTCAGACACTATATTCCTGACTCGCATTACATACTACTTATGTCAATATAAATAACACACACCACACTAGTACCACAGTCGGTAACATTATCACCATAATGACAGAGAAGATACATCACAATAATGAAATTCATGCTTCAACACAATCAACCATTTTTAGAAAAAAACAGTTGACAAAGGATCCTATTTCAGCTAAACTTCTAGAATAATTAATACGCATTATTGTGAGTAGCTGACCTTTGGAAGATAATATAATCTTTGTGAAAACGTGGGTCAGATCACTTCACAGAGGACCATAGCTCAATGATGCATTTATTTATTAGATAGATGACATGATAACATAACTATTGAATACATAGAGACAATTGATTACTCACATTACGAACACATGAGCAATTATACTTGTTTAAGTCACTTCTTCAGTCGTTGCTTGCTAACATATTTCCCATACATTTCATGTCAATCTGTTTTCAGGTATCAAAATCGATCAAGTTGGTTTATTGACCTTACAACTGAATAAGTGAATAATCAAATCATCTGTTAGATTTCCATCACACTTACTTAGTGTAATCTTCAAGTAACATTCGTTTGAACGAGCACTAATCAATACTGTGATATGGTGGGTGCTTAAAATTTACTAATCTGTTACACCGCTTTCTGCTTGTTCCGTTTTATTCAAACGACTGTAATTGTTTCTTAGATAAACTACTCCTTGAAATAATAATCAATGTCTAAGAAACAGATAGACTGTGAGGAGCAAAGTTGCTCTTGTTTGAACTATAGGTCTAAAATTAATTTGACTTGATATCTTGTTCACCTAATTAATATTACAAAATTTAGTAGTTTATAAAGCAGTATAAAATTTTGTTTTGACTCAAAATATTTTCATCTTACTTTATCAATCTTTCCAGAATCATTAACAACATCAACAAGGAATTTCGATGGCCAATATTGATATGACTTGGCCAACAACAATAGTTACTGTATCTGGTGAAAAAACAGTATTTGGTCAACGTAGTAGTAGTATAACAGAGAAATCATCTAGTGACAATATACAAAAAACAATCAATTCATCTATTCAACATGATATTGAAAACTTAAATTTAAATCATTTGAATGAAGATGAACGTCAAAAAGTTTTATGTGTAGTAAAAAAAGACTTTGAAGTACGTGCTAAAGAACGAGAAAGATTGAAGTAAGCATTTATTTAACAATTTTATATCTCTTATTACTGTTACGAACTATTTGTCAGTTACCAACAATATACAAATCGATATAATAATGAACTGATCCACAACTTGAAATAACAAAGTATCAGAGAGTGTAAGCAATAGGAATTATCAAAATATGAATATTAAATGAGTCAAATTAATAAAGTCATTAATATGGTATATTCACAATTGATTGATCACTGTATGGTGATCAATGTCATGCGTGTCAAATCCTTTTTAGTGCACCACTTCCCTCAAGATTTCAAGTACACCTTGCTGACGCCTGCCAAGTAGCACGAAACCCGGTTCCAGGGTCTCCTGTTGACTACCTCCAAACAACATCTTATCTCAATAATAAGGTGTAAATAATCAAAATAAATAAACAAAATCGATTTAAAATTTTCACAGAATAATTAAATTTTCAAGATTTCAAAAAAGGCTTTAAAAAATACTTCTGTTAAAATCACAAACCGATCTAAGTTAGACAATGATTAGAAGTCTAGAAACACTGGATGACGGTTCATCCTTGTATGAAACTCCTTAATAGTGCATATCCACGACTCTGGGGCGAAGAATTCAACTCAAAACCTTCGGTCTAGTTAGCAAACGCTTAACCTCCAAACCACTGAGTCAGAATTCATGATATACATGTCTAACTACAACCAATCCACGATATTGAATAACCCTCTTCCATTGTCTTTTATGGTTGTCTAATGTAAAGTGGCTCTCAATTTGTATCAAACTCAACAATTTCTCCAAGTCCTTACTGAGAGTTAACACTTTTATCCTGAATTCACATGCTATAACTTTGAACGATGTATTTTGCATAAAACTTGGTCAATTTTTGGATTATTAATTTGGTTACACAATTGTAGAACTTAAAGAGAATTTATTGGAAAGAATATTCTCCATTCATACATAAGTGTTCTAATTTTAAAACTGTTAATAGTTTGACAAAATGAAGCAGAGAACGTTTATGCATTAACGTGTGCATTTTCTGAGCTACCATGATCTGTAGTAAATTGAAAGTAGGATCACATTTCTTTATAATAAAAGCCGCTAATGTACGATTTGAACTGAATTTATCCATACCGATTTTTAAAAAATGATCAATTAATTAAATACGCCAATTTTGACCTTCAAATGACGCCAATGTTTTTATTCAATCAGAACGTAAATGATACATTTTATTACGTAACATCGCTGAAATGTTTAAGAATAGAATTAGGATTTAGGTTTCTGAATTCGAGTTAGGATTAAAGGTTAGAAGTTAAGAGTGATAGTTAGGAATAGAGTGGAATAATGCTTCGTAGCCACATACATATATATGGTAAAATGTACACTCCTTAAGTTGAGTATCTTCATTGTCTCCCGAATTGATATTCGCAAGATCAGAGAAGATATTATTTTCATTTTAAATGAATGCATTTGGTACATTCCATGCATTTTCGTTGAATTACTTCCATACAAGGAATTAAATACTAATAAAAAGCAGGATGAGCAAAGAAGATAAATAGTCACTTAATGACACTGTAGCTTGAATTAAGAGGTACTTGTATAGTATTAGCAACTTCTAAAGTACTTGACTTCAAACAGTTGTAGGCTCGAACCTCAGTACAGGTGCTTAAATATTTGTCGCGTGACACAATGCCTCATTTCTGTAAGTTACTTATTTCTTGATAAACTCTTATTCCTTGGAGATCCGACATCTATAAAAATCTATCCAAAAACGGCATCAGCCTCACTAATCTACAAAGACATGTAAAATGATGTGATTATGGTAATAAGAATTGCAATCAGTACTTCTTTTTTGATGTTTCTTTTACTGGTCTAATAATATGCTTTCCATTGGACTTCGGAATTGCGTTTTTGATTGGTAGGAGAGGGGTACGGATGACAGAATAAAGAGTCAGATCGTACAAATTTACCACAGACATCATGATCCTCTCGTTCAATAATTTATAAACTGATGACTTAACTTTCAGAATTACATTATGTTTACCCTACAAATTTCTTTTTATTTTAACACATAGATATTGGTACAAGGAGGCACCAAATACATGTGCGCCACACATATTTCATTTGATTTGTGTGAGGGCTGTGATAATGCCCGGGTGCCCAGACCGGAGCAGGTGGTTTTCTTAGGGGGCCACACCCACAGCCTTCGACCTGAATGTCTGACCCACAAGGCAGTGGAGCATCGTAAGGCGATGCAATCCCATGGTAGCCGATGACGAATGATTGGTTCATACGCCATTTGTTCCCGCAGGATACTGGAGCCAGCCCATGTGCACCATTGGTTTGAGGTCCGGTTAAAGCGCCGGACATTCGCTTTTTGTCCTCTAATTTTTGTAAACAACACCCCCGTCACGAGAAGGCAGTGAGTAGGACTTCCCTGGCAGAGGCTAAATACGCGTGGCCATGTGAGAGCATTTCGAGAGGGTGAGCGGACTCTCCCCACTCTCGGCCGTATCAGGGCATTTGGGGGCACCCTACAAATTATTACCAACTGTCAGATTGATAGTCTATCTCAGAGCAGGATACATCAACCTGAACTCGGTAAATTTATATTAATGACTGTTTATTGATTATAGATCATGATAAAAAGTTCTTAATTTTACTACATTTCTATTTCATTAATTTGTTTTTATATACTTTGAAAATATATATATTAACTTAGCCGATATCGTTCAAGTATTTTAAGACGAGATAGAGAATTGGCTGCTAAAAGTTTATCATCAATTAGTGAAAGTACATCTTGTTTATTATGTGGACGTGCATTTATACCTTTGATTAATACTAAACGTATATGTTTCAATTGTAAACGTGAAATATGTCGAAATTGTTCAGAATCTATGAATAAATACGATGAATTCTTATGTAGAATGTGTTTAAAAGAAAAGTAAGTTACATTTTTAAAAGTAGTCTAGTATATATATATATATATATATATATATATATATATATATATATATATATATTTATATATTCTGTGATAATAATGATAGAGGTTGTAGGTCAGTCAGCTACAATGTAGGACCAGGCACATATATGCATATATTTTGATAAACTGTAGGATTACTAAAAAAAGGAAATACTTATACAACATTTTATAGTTTATATATCCCAGTTTAAAAACTATTCTCTTCTTTAGTAGTCAATTTTACGATAATCAATAAGATTCAACTAATGTCATATAAAGAAAACCAGTTGTATGTTACTTACTTACTTACGCCTGTTACTCCTCGTGGAGGAGCATAGGCCGCTCACCAGCATTATCCATCCAAACCCGTCCTGACTAATCCTTTCCAGTTCTTTTCAGTTGTTATTTATTCTTTTCATATCTACTTCTATTTTCCGATGTAATGTATTCTTTGGGCTTGCACTTTTTCGCTTCCCTTCAGTGTTCCAAATTAGGGTTTGCCTCGTGATGCAGTTTAGTGATTTCCGTAATGTAGATCCTATCCATTCTCATCTTCTTTTCCTCTTCGATTGGAAGCTGGTTTGTTTTCTCTCAATGTAGGCTGTTGCTGATGGTATCCGGCCAATGAATGTTGAGTATCTTGCGTAGACAACTATTTATAAATACTTGTACCTTCTTGATGATGGCTGTAGTAGTTCTACACGTTTTAGCTCTGTATAGTAGAACTGTCACGACGTTCGTATTGAATATTCTGACTTCGATATTGGTTGAAAGTTGTTTTGAATTCCATATGTTCTTCAACTGTAGGAATGTGACCCTTGCTTTGCCAATCCTCGCCTTTACGCTAACCAGTTGTATTTAACTGTACAATGATATCATTCAGTATGTTTTACAATTGGCAATATTAGTTCTCCCTTAATTATGATGTTCCCAACTAGATTTTTATTAGAACACACAAAAGCTAAATACATTTCATTAACCATATTAAAGTTTTAATCAATTAAACTTATGTGAAACTTAAGAAATATCGAAATCTTTTCAGTTTTTAAGAAATTTAGTCAGTGAACAAAGAATATTTATCAAACGAGCATTGAAAAACACAAGCTTACTATTTAAACAAAGTAATTTTACTCTAGTTGTATAACTGGGGCTGATAAAGAATTTCTGTTTTAACGATGATATCAGTATAACAGCCTTTCAATAACGATTAATTCAATTCCCAAACATAAAAATCAAACACTTGGTTGATTAATCTAACTGAATATATAATTCGAAAATATACGAACAGTCTTATACACTACATCATTAGTTTTATACCGGTAATGTTTTGATGAAACTTCGTAAGTGCAACTAGATTTTGGACTTTGATTTGCACAAGCCTTAGGCGTATTTTGATGGTGATCGATTGCCAAACTGACTCTCGAATCATGATCAGTTTCAATGCACTGAACTAACAGACATGGTTACTATCATCACCATCACACTGCAAAGAACAGAAGGAAAAGACATTTAGCATGGAATTTGAGAACTTTAAGAATTATTAAGTGTACTATTAAAGCAAAAACCTTCAATCATTCATCATCTCAACAATGCACCTGATATAATGTCTCTTAGACTAGTGGTCACCTTGTAGCTTGACCAAGAGAATTCAGTTAGCAATTAACAAGACACTGATCAATACTCAACCACTAATCAATTGTAAAAAATGTTTTTATTATTTATTAATCCTTGTAACCTTATTTAAATGGTTACTATGTGATTTTCGAATATGAACTAGAATGTACCTGCTACATAATATTGGTAAAAAGTCGTTTTTATGAGCCAACTTGATTTCTTTCGTTTTTAATTAAACTGTTTTTAGAAATGAGTAATTCTTTCACATATTTTTAGAATGTTTACAGTAGTTAAAGTTTACGAATTCTTTTAACAATTTTTCTATCATTTTAACATGTTTCATAACTAGATTTGTCTAGTTACCAAGAGATTGCAACAGCAGTTTTATGCATTTATGTCCATAAAAACTTCGGATCCTGTTTAATCACTAACATAGACACACTAAATGTAATCTATTCATTGTCAGATTGATGAGGTTTAACTGTTAAGATGTCATCGTTTTAATCTGGTAGGAAATGCCTTCTTGATGTTTGCTCAGAAGGCACATTTATGGTCATGTATATAAAAATACACCCTAAATGCAACACGAACATTCATAAAGACAATAATTCAGAATCATACATTTTCAGTTAAATTTGTTGTATGACACATTATTAATGGGATTACGGTTATAAATTGTTTATCTGAGTTTTAGACAATAAGCAACAACTACCTTCTATAAAGATATTCCTGTTCCTCCTAGACAATCAATATATCAACATAATTTCTTTGAATTTTCAATAATTCTGTAAATAATATACTTCATTAAAACGTGGAAATCTGTGTTAATTAAATAATCACATCATGCATTTGAGGGAGGGTTGAAGATTATTCCTTTTTCTCTTTGTTTGATGAAAAGCAGTCTCAATAATATGATCCCTTGAAATGAACATTCACTTAGTTGAGAAAGAGAACAACATGGCCAAATTGTTTCAATCAATAGTTAGGTAACAAACCCAGTTATAAGTATTCATTACCTGTAACCTAGAAACAGGTCAATAATAAATATCAAACAATGATTCTAAGAAAGGGTGCTTTCAGAGATTTATTTAAATCGAATTTAGTTTTTTTGTCACTGGCTGGAAAACTATTGATTCGCTCATTTATAAGTGAATAATGCCTAAACTGCAACTCTTCAAGTTAGTCTACTTTTTACTGATTTTCGCAGTCTAAAAATCAAACATTAGTCAATGGAAAAGTGGTCATAATTCAAAGAATAAGTTGAGTTGCTAGCTACAAACTAACAATAGCTGATTAACATCATAGCTTAATGCCGATCAAATTGACGTTATTCTCACAAAATATACAAATATTATTCCCACTCTCTGTAAATGTCATTCTTGTTAAATGTGATCCATTGAGAAAGGAGATAACAAAAGTGAATAAAGTTAAGTGATTTGTATATACCTACGACAATGGATCAGCTGGAAATTATACCATCTTTGCATCGGTAACAAAATTATTTCAATATTTACTAATAATTACTACATACTAATTCTGTATTATCCTCCTTTAACTCGGGTTTAAGTAACCTAATCCACTATTTAACTTACAGGGACTAAACAATTACTAACCCAATTTATCTTCAGTGTTCAATATGGTTTTTCTACTGACTTTATATAACTGAATAATTTCTATTTTTATCGTATTCAGAAACTATTGTGCAATGACATGTAATTGGTTTTACGGGACAGTAATTCAACGATTCAGAGAATTCGGAAGTACAGCTGTCGCTAAAAGTTTATTTGGATCAAAGTACAAACGTAAGTTTAGCATAAAGTTTCATGGAAAAACGTTGATTTAAAGTTTTCTCAGTATTATTATTTTTCGAAAATATTACTATCAGTAATACTCCAAAACATTTCCAGCTAAGATGGTTACCACATATTACGTCACTGCCTACCACGAGCCTCTAAGCTAGTCAGAATAGTGGAATGTTGAAAAAAACCTAGAAGCGACTTAACCATGACATTGGATCATTCGACTAAATCACAGATTGTTAGCCTACATAGCTCCAGATGGTGCACATAGCTTAGTCAAGGTCTGTGAAATAATCAAAATCTCTGGTTGAAAACCATAGAATAAACAGTTGCCAAGTGAGTCTGGTCAATAGCATTATTCAACACAAGGATGCTACAAACATTCAGACAGAATTTTCTTCCATTTATTTTCCTACTTTTATTGATTAATAATTAAAAAATCTAATAACACTTTGCTATTCACTGAAAGTAATCACTTCATCAATAATTACCTGGAATAATGACATCTGGATAATGTAGATAGACTGTGTTTCGTCAGATCAACTTTAAGAAAAATCTCCGTAAGTTAACCGCGTGAAGAGTTTGATTAATTCACCAATTACATTAAATGAGGACCACTGAAGTCGTAAATATTAACTAATGAGTTATTTACGTGACTTGGAATCGGAAGATTAGAGTTTAAATTTTATATGCACTGTAGATGGAATCACGAGCTATGATGAAGTAGTGGTCTAGACCTTCTTTCTTTTCACTGAATGTTTTAAAAGTTGACTTCAGTATGTAGTGGAAATTAGCTACAGACGATGTGGCTTCTTTGTTAAAAATGATGAGTTCCTTTAAAATTCTCTGAGATCTTCATACCGTATTGATGAATGATATAAAAATTCAAGGTGTGAAGTGATAATATCACCGATGAGAGATTTAAAAGGTCACAAAACTGAATAGGTTCGTATCTCTAGAATTATCTTTAAAAAACTGACTTACAGAAAGCCGGTGAATTAGAAGTAAATATTAAGTATATTGATCAATAGGGCTATTATAACTTATGGCCTGTGTGCCCTGTTAATGTATACGTAATGATACCACCAACTAGAGAACAGGGTATTATCGATTGGTCCTATGACACATAAAACAAGTATGAGCAGTCTAGAGTCTTATCGGTATTGCACTACCCTGCCCAGCCCAGCCAGTCAAGTCCAGAACACCAATATCAGCCTCTGCCACATGAATCATGTATTTCACACATACTAGGTTTATATACCAATCAAACAGACCACATCGTACCATAAAATGGGAAACAACATTTATACAAGATTTGGTCAAATGTGGCTGTGAATGTGGGAGGTAGTGATTAATAGACAGGTCATAATTCAAGAATGCTAAATCGTATAATAATGGTTTATAGGTCACAATTAAGCTCATAATAAGACAGACATGAACATGAATAGTTTAGTCATTTAACAATTATACCATAAAATTTACGTATAGTATTGGTTCATAAATGGATCTCAAAAATTACCATTCATTATGCTCATCGCGACTTAACAAGGGTAGAACGTCATTTTCTCCTTAATTTGTTCCATTCAAATACATTTCGTGAATCGCATTTTATTTCACAGCTTTTACATTGTAATTTTAGAGTTGATTGAAAATGTATAAAAAAGTTTTTTTTATCGACTAATAATGCTTCGCATTGATAGGTCTGATGTAATCTTCTTACATTCCTGCCACTCAATATGATATATGACACTCAGATTGAGAGTCATCATATTCCTTGTAGATGCATGCTAGTCGATATTCTCTTCTTCACATTGTTGTATAGATCTGTACAGTTATATTGGTTGTTTGATATGTAGAACCAGCTAAAGAAGGATTATAAACAAGCGTACACTAGTACAATAGATGAAATCAGGATTACTATTAACTACTTCTCATCACTCACAAAATGAGAGATTATCAAATCAGAAATTTACTAAATATCATTAAATGAATGCTTACAAGCGCAAACGATCAAGCTTTAATTAGTTTTTAATTTAATTAATTTGTAATAATGAACTAAATACTTACAATACGTAAATATTATTATCGTGCTGAACAACACTATCATTACAAATAGAGAGGAATGTTTCTGTGGTCTATTTTTACTGCAATATGATTGAGATCATGAACCAATTGATGTTAGACCACCATCGAAAACCTGGAAGCACTGGACGGCCGATTCGTCTCTACCCGAAACGGATTAGCTCCACTGTTCACAGCTTCTCACTAGAGCACCGAAAATTCGAATCCCGCGAGCAGGATCGTGGATGCTCACTACTAAGGAGTCCAACAATAGGACGAATCGGCCGTCCAATGCTTCCAGGCTTTCACTGGTGATCTAACATCAATCGGTTCATGATCTTAATCTAAAACTTAATAATCTCCACAACTAACCAACAAAATGTGTTTATCATGTGAATAAATAATAATCATTTTTATCATGAATATTAAGCTAAATATTTATGATAATTATAGAATTAATTAAATTAATTTCGATAATTACTTCCGACTGATTTCTTTACATAATGATTTTACTAATTTTTTTATTGTGAAAACATAGTTAATACTGATACGTATTGTTCTGTTTTGTTCATTTTGGCTAGTGATGTTTGGAATAATAAATGATTAGAGGATATCAACAAAATCTCTGAAATTACATTTCGTGCTAGTTACCTCTTGTTAGTAAGACTTACATGCAACATTAAATGAACTGAATCTCTCTCTGAGGGATCCGAAACTGTCTTCTAGTATAACAGTGTGAAACTTGACCATTGTATTTTAATTGTTGAGACTGACGACTTTAATGAAAAAGATATTTAAAATGATTGATTGTTAAGCAGTCTTGCTTTTCCGGTTCTTATAACTAAATGAATACATAATCTGACGCGTACTTGTTCTATCCTGATAATAATAATGAATGGTAACTATTGGGATCCATTTATGAACCAATACTATACGTATATTTTTGTCGTTTACTTGTTAAAAAAATAAGCATATTCGTGTTCCGCTTATTTTAACCTATAAACTTTTATTATACGATTTAGCATTCTTGAATTATGACCTGTCTATTAATCACTACCTCCCACATTCACAGCCACATTTGACCAAATCTTGTATAAATGTTGTTTCCCATTTTATGGTACGATGTGGTCTGTTTGATTGGTATATAAACCTAGTATGTGTGAAATACATGATTCATGTGGCAGAGGCTGATATTGGTGTTCTGGACTTGACTGGCTGGGCTGGGCAGGGTAGTGCAATACCGATAAGACTCTAGACTGCTCATACTTGTTTTATGTGTCATAGGACCAATCGATAATACCCTGTTTTTTAATTGGCGGTATCATCACATTATACATCGATAGGGGCATAAATCCACAAGATATACTACTACTAAACTATGTTTCCTTATCAGATAGTTGGCTTAATCTGTTGTCACAAAAGAAAGGCAATCTATTTTGTTCTAAGTTAAGCGTCAGATATTGATTAAAATAACACTAGTTTTATGTTGAAATAACTTGCTTGCAAGTAGTGTAAACTTGTATCACGATTAGAATTTTTTCTAAAAAGGACTCAATACCATAATATAAAATAGATTAATTAGCGTTGATTTTTAAAGGTATTTGTTTCATAAACATTACCGTAAGTGAGAAGCAAATTATTACATATAAATATCTATTAATGTATAGGGTTATAGAGATTTGTAAATTTTGAGTTCCACATCATAGACTAACGTTATTTAGACAACTAGTGAAAACTAAAAAAACATTTGATTGTTATTTTATGTTGGACTCCTCAACATTTTACATCGATGACTCTACCGTATATTGAGCCTAGAATCTTTAGGCCACTCAGCAAACATATAACTCTAAAACCACTGAATTAACATGCCATGATAACACTTCTAAATCCAATTGATTTGTAAAATTATCAGACCATCGTCCAATGTTATTCATCAGCATTCGTCTCACACATGACATAGTTGAACTTCACTGACGACAGCATTTAACTAGAACTCTGACAAACACTTTTCTAAATTAATTATTGGTGTGTACACATTTATCCTTGGTATATGACGTTATAAAAGTTATTTGATTTATAGTGCTTTCTAGTTCTTGATGGTCATCTAATTGAAGTCATTCCATCATTTTAAACTATAAAATACTTGTTTATTAATATGTTTGATAACAATTAATTACTAGTCGGTTGAAGCAATTATTGATTTGTATATTTTAGAAGTTCAAAATATGGCTGAAGAAGAACTTTGGAATCTTTTATTTCGATCTTCATCATCCAAAAGAAACTCTATCGAATCTAGTATGTGTTTATGTATAATTGTTCTTGTGTGTGTATTCAAAATGATAAGTTATTCAATCTTTTTTATTTATTGTTTACGTTTACATATAAAGCTTCTTTTCAGTTATTATTTTCAATCATGGGTTCAGTCAGTCAGTAACTACGTAGAACTTCGTACGTACGTACATCAGTTCGAATCGCCATACCATATTAGCACACAGATACAATTGTCGATTCAAATCCCATAGTGGTAGAGGTAGTGAAAGTATAACCAGTAATTGCAAAGATTAGGGTTTGAAGATGAAAATTCAACGAGTATAATCTGGTGAAATAAATTTTGAGAGAGAAAAAAGAAAGGGACATAAACAGTGCAGAAGATTAGAGTTTGAGAGAACACAAAGAGTGGATGCACCTGCGCTATTGTAAACGATTTTGAGCCATGTCATTCAAGATCTCTAACCATCGGTTGCTATCATCTGGCGGATCCCAACTAAGTAGTCTACACTTACCAACATGACTCAGTCCATTTGTCAGTGACTTCATGGATTTGTGCCACGTTTTGATGTGGCCGTCCCTAGCTTTCTTCCAACCTACTCCTACACCATAAAACATCGCACGTCGTGGCAGTCAGTGGTTGGGCATACGTAACACGTGTCCCAGATGTCTCAATTAATGAAGTTTCACTACTTCGTCAATTGATTTGCCACCCTTACCTAGTACCCGTTTCCTAACAACTGAGTTGCTTACTTGGTGGTCCCAGGATATACGAACAATGTTTCGAAGACACCTATGAACGAATATTAGTAACCTAAGAATATCCTCTACTCTTACCGGACATCGTTTAATATTTTAATGTCAAAAATGAAATAAATTCCAACAGTTAAACTGCATTTTCCTATCACAAATGAATTAACTTCATCACAGCACTAGTCATCTAAGTTTGTAGCATTAAAATAACCTGCAAATTAGATGATGAAACTGATTTAAAATTCTATATGGAATGCTTGCTGAGTAACGATGAAAGTTTCGCAGCCAAACTATCTAGCTTGGAGAACACAACACCACCAAAAGTGTATACTTGATCTGTATATGTTATCCATTCTTTTGATCAAAATAAATGTTCCTACTTTAGACATAATATGGAATATATGGAATGTGGTTAGCTATGGAATCCGGTACTAAATTCGAATCTCAACGTGATGAGTCCAAAATAAGACGAAACTCGTGTCTTTCATTCTATTACTTGTCATATTTCATGTATTCTATATATTACATCGAAGCACTCTACACAGGATGTATATATACCAACTAATACTGATCAAATTCCACTTAAAATATCAACAACAAGATGATCCAAACCATTTCATCATAATAACTAATTTACACTTGTCTTAATAAAATATATAAGCAATTATGTTATAAATTGCACTCATATGTTATCATAATAATCCTATACAACTATCAAAATGCTAAATTCTATAAGATATAATGAAAGACACAAAAATGGTTAAGAAAACAAACACTTTTTCCCTGACATCTCTTCTTTTGAAAAACAATATAGATTAGGATCCATGTACTAAACATATTAATTAGTAATTTCTTTTTTTTAATAGAAAAAAACTAGTTAAAACCTTTTACAGTTGAAAGTAAATGACAAACACAAATACTGTCGGTATATACAGTTAATACATTTTTTTTTTATGTGACTGTAAACGTGATATTTTCTACAATGGAATTTGTTATAATTTTGCATATTTTATCCTAAAAAAAAGAAAAACAAACTTTTTTTCTGTCTGTAACTAACCATATGCTACTGAATATGACGTTTATTGTGAGTAACAGTAGCTAACCAATGATAAATCAATTTTATAATAAGCATAATTAAACTATTTAAGATTATCTTGTCAGTCTTCAGTATTGTCAAAGAAAAATGTGATAATTAGGAGTATTTGAATTATAGTATAAACTAGGAATCTCAGAAATAATGCAATTACATCATGAAGTACTAGATAAGCATGAATGAGCGTATTGTATTTGGAATTCGAAATCAAGCATTCAACAAGTACAAAAGAATGATTAGTTTATACAAACATCACATCCACCATAGCTTAAATTGGAATCTAAGTTTCTGTAATCGATTTACGTCTACTCTTTATGTTCATCTTGTGTCTGCTCGACAGTGTATTGGATGTAGACTCTGTAAAATCTAAGATCAACAAGTGCGATTGGAACGTTCTCGCCCCAGTCCTAGAATTGTATACAATCATCATATCATTTGTGTACCGAAACCAATAACATCTAGAATTCGACCCATAGATTTTGCAACATTATCCTCCACCATGAAATAATGTTAGATCTTCATATCCCCAAGTTATGAATGATGTGGCTTCATTTAAAACATATTTCTCACACTGACTAGAATATACATTAGAAGTGACTTCATGATAAGGATAAACAACAGTTGATATGAAATCATTCGAATCGTAATCAAAATCGAGCTGATTTAGAACTCGTGCTTCGTATTGAACAAGTTCCTCACATGAAGTAAATGCATTATGACTATAAGTAATATATGATATGACATCAGCATTTGATTCTTCTGAAATATTTTCCTCAATTTTTTTAAGAATTTCATTAAAGAATAATGGATCATTAGAAAAATCAGCATCTATCAAAGCTGCATCAGATTTTCGATCATGATTAAGTTCACTCAACATATTTTCCTCGGATATATAAGAAATTTCATCAGAAATATATGAATCATTAGGAAAAATCATATCTGGTACAATAAAAAGGAAAATCTGATAAGAAGTTGGTTGATTAGAAACTTTTGTCTCACAATGATTCTGAGTTTTATTCAACTCCGATCTGTTATGTGACTCTATACCGCTTTTCGAAATCGTGGATAAAGATAAATGATCGTTAGAAACACTCAACTCAATAGGATCACAATTACAAGTTTTAGCATTAGTTGCAGCGGAATGAACCGTATTATGACAAACTGACTGAATGTGTTCAATTTCACTACATTTAATGCATTCATAATTACGAAATACATATGAATTTAAATGAGTGAGACCTGCCACAGGAAAAACATTGACCAAACTTGTGCCCATCTTCGTGAACTAGATCGCAAATCCTCAATGAATTATCTGCATAACCTTGAGTACTCACTGGATCGGGATGACGTAGTAATGTAGTGGAAGTTTTGATGCCTGATGAATCATTTTACAAAATCTTCCTCCTTTACTGCATTCGAAATCTGTATACTTAACATAGTTTAGCAGTAGTCTCTTGAGAGTTGCATAAGGAAGCGAAATAGCCTTTTCTGGTAAAGCCAGAGTTTTTAGTAAGCTGTAAGCTTTCTTTCTGATGAATGTAAAGAAATGTGCTAAAATGTTAATATTTTCAACATCTTCCTTGGTCATAGCCCGGGTTTCGAATCTTTCTAAGTAATCTTCAAAAGCATCAAAATCTGAATGTATGTACAACGATTCCATCACAGGTGATAACTAAGAGTATTTGAATTATAGTACTGTTATAACTTGTGAACCTGTGTGCCCTGTTTATTGTATAACGCAACGATACCGCCAATCAGAGAGCAGCGAATTATCGATCGAACGAGTGACGTATAAAACACGTGAGAGCAGTCTAGAGTCTTATCGATACTGCTTTCCGCCCAGCTCAGCCAGTTAAAGTCCAGAACACCAATATCAGCCTCTGCCACATGAATCATGTATTTCACACATACTAGGTTTATATACCAATCAAACAGACCACATCGTACCATAAAATGGGAAACAACATTTATACAAGATTTGGTCAAATGTGGCTGTGAATGTGGGAGGTAGTGATTAATAGACAGGTCATAATTCAAGAATGCTAAATCGTATAATAATGGTTTATAGATCACAATTAAGCTCATAATAAGACAGACATGAACATGAATAGTTTAGTCATTTAACAATTATACCATAAAATCTACGTATAGTATTGGTTCATAAATGGATCCCAAAAATTATCATTCATTACTCTTATCGGGATATAACAAGTACAAACTAAGAATTTTAGAAATAACGCAATTCAATCAAGAAGTATTAGATGAGCACGAATGAATGTACTGTATTTGAAATTCGAAATCAACCATTCAACAAGTACAAAAGAATCATTCATTCATACAAACACCACAAAATACTACTTGATCTACTTTTTTCTACTGTTTTCATAAATACAATGATTATCATAACTACAAATAAACAACATATTCATATATCTTTTTATATTAAACATTTTAGAAGAATCAGACAAATTTTATTCAGCAGATCAAGCTAGAGAAGCACAAATTAAAAAATTAAGAAATCGATTAGAAAAATTAATGGAAGAAACTTTATCTGAATTAAATGCTGTTGAAAAAAATGATTCATTATCACCAAGACAAATTACTTGGCAACGTAAGTTTTTAATGCTATTATTGTACTTTTATTTACTTTTTTGAAGGCTAACAGTTACATAAAAAAAGAATACTGTTGGATTGGGTATTATAGCAACTCACGTTCAATTGAGTTTGCTCTCACCTAATTCGGTTAAGCCCTTTTATTAACTTATTAGACGGACAAAGTCACCTGCACTATAATAACTTATTGTAACCTTATTACTGTTGCGAATGTATGAACATGTATGCTCGGCAAGCCTTACTGCCTACGCATTTATTCACGCTACTAGCTTTACTATTAACCGCTTAATTGACTCGATGATTCATTCATTTCACTATGTATATATGTCCATATTATTCATATTCATTACTCGCTCGTTCATTCACTCACTATCTCGCTCACTCGCTCATTCGCTCTTGCCCTTGCTCTCTCTCGTCCGCTCGCTTGCCTGTTTGCCTTTCGGCACAACTATTTCATGCTTGCTTAACGCATCTGTAATTTTGGATATCTGTGTGTGGTCCTATAATAAACGTTATTAACACTTCGTTTTCGCCTTCTGATTAATATACCGTTGGAGCATTATTTAGTGACGGTTACCGAGACGAACTGTACACGGAGTTTAAGGAATATATCGAACACCGACCACCACAGTCTTATCTATGGTTTATAACCATTGGATTGTAATAAATTTGAAGTTTATCAAATTATTAGTTCAGTAACCTTCTTCATCTGTTATCAATCAGAATAAATTTTAGCGTGTTTAAATCTCGTTTTTTTTGGTCAGAAGTTAAATGTGTAAAGACGCGAGTCTTCTCTCAAGATACGACTGTTCATTTCATTCAGTTTCGAAAATCAGTTGAAATGGCTGATCAATTTATACAATAAACATCTAGGTAGAAAGTAATATTTTCTAAGCAAAGGGTATTGTATAACTGTTTTTGTACCATAGTTGATAACTATAATTGAGATCATTTCAAATCTTTAGAAAGAGTCGTAACTCAACAGTAATTATATCTATGTTGGTGAATTTCTTAGAGGTAAATTGAACAGTTATATAGTGCGATTCAATACTCTGTGAAGTTAAGTAAACGGTGACTCAGAGACTTCAATAATCAACGACAGCATTGTATCATTAAAACTGAATATCATTGAAAAGTTTGGCAACTAGATTTTTATTTAATTGCTTGATGAGTTCGTGTTATTTAAATGTTATTCATAATGTATAGGTGAAAATCATAATCCATAGATCGATGATGATTAAGATTGAAGCTGATCAGTAAACTTGTGAATAGATTTCCTGTATAAATCATAATGTAAACATAACTCATAAGTTACTAGTGTATATTTCAATATAATTTAATAAAACCTAAAACTTTTGATCACGGCATAATATGCTATAAACAGTTTAATATTAGTATTAGAACGGGTTTTTTGGATAACATAGTAATTTTAAGTTGAGGTCATGCGTCAATTGATGCTAGATCACCATGGAAAACCTAAAAGCAATAGATGGCCGTTTTGTCCCAATGTGGGACTCCTCAACAGAGCTCATCCACGATCCCGCCTCGCTAGATTCGAACACAGGACCTATCAGTCTCGCGTGCGAACGACTAACCTCTAGACCACTGAGCTGGAATCTAACGGTGTTAATGTCTAACTTCAACTAATCCACGAAATTGAGTTCAATATTACAGTTAATAAAAGGCCTACAAATCACTAAAATTTCAACTTCAGTCAGTCCACTACAATAAGCGATTTTCAACAAATTCTTTTATTTCAGGATTGGAAATTTAATTTACAGTCCATTTGTTCCTGATTTCATAACTGGTATGACCGGTTACTATGTTAAGCCCAAAGAAATTACTCTAGCTTCTGAACAGGCCAATTTATCAATTCTTCTTGAGTCACGTTTTGCCTTGTTAATTATTCGTCTATCAACATTGACTGTTTTTATATGAGCGTATGTGTGTTCATTTCCTATCTCAATAATCACATGTCTATAACTTAATTTTGTCTAACTATAAATATTGATTCACGCTTGATTAAATTGAGTTGGCTCACACTCCCTCTCAACTGCGCATCACTTCGTTTCACTCGCTTCTCTTCGCTTTCTTCACTTCGTTTCTTCGATCGATGGTATCGATTAACAATTCTATGAAATATACATATTCCATCATCCATTCTCGTATTTGCCTTATTTGATTCCGTTATTCACTAAAACGAGTTAAGTCAATAATTATATACGAGGATTGGCGATATGTATATCTCAGTAGCAATCAGAAATTATCAAAATGTAGTCAAATATATGGCCACTAAAAACGGGTTCATTCAATCCATCTCAGTTAGTTAACACATTCCACATGAATAACTCAACAAAATATATACAGTTCCAACAAATTGATTCATACTATAAAGATTTCCTAATTGATACCTGATAAACATTCAACCGGGTCTGTTGTGAGATAGTAACTCACTGATGACAATAGTGGACGATGGCGCAACTTAGTGGATTGGTTGAAGTTAGACACTAACACCGTTGGATGTCGGCTCAGTGGTCTAGTGGTTTAGCGCTCGAACTAGAGACTGATAGGTTCAGTATTCGAATCTCGCGAGGCGGGATCGTGGATGCGCGCTGCTGAGGAGTCCCATACTTGGACGAAACAGCCTTCCAGTACTTCCAAGTTTTCCATGATGATCAAGCTTCAACTAACTGATGAATTCAACTATTAAACTGTAGAATATAACAGTTTCTCGTCTGTTCAATACATTGTATTCATTATATATGTCTTCATTTCAAATTAAGACAGTAGTTTTTTAATAAATGAAAAAAACAGATTGAGAAGTGATTGTTTTTCTCTTTTTCTCCCTGGAAAAATTTGACTGGCATTCCATCTACTGTTTTTTTTTAAACTTTTCAAGTGATTATTTCGCCTTATTACTGTCATCTTGACTTTTTTATCCTCCCGTTATTAAGTTAAATAAAATGATTGACAGGTAACTGATAAGTGGGGGATTTTTTTGTCTTCTAAACCGAAGACATGAATATATAGATTTTTAAATGGTTAGAAATTTCTTTTAATATTTGAAACTGAAAGGAAAATATAAAAAATAGAGCAAATTAAATTATGTTGTCAAGTTTATTAATAATCGTAGGAACAATTCAAATTGAATAATAATAATAACAATAATAATAATGATAATAATAATAATAATAATAATAATAATAATAATAATAATAATAATAATAATAATAATAATAATAATGGTAATGATTTGAGTCATCTATTTAAAGAGTTAATAGATTATTAAAGACTGATTATATTCACTCTTAAAAATATTAATTATTGAGAAAATACAAATTCTGAAAATTGATAAGGTGTAGCAACTATCCTACAATCAAGTTCGATTATGTTATTTGGACAGTAACAATTCGCATATTTATTTGTACTGTTATGATCATTAGATCACATGACAAACTCTAGCTAAAATGTTGATCACCTAAATGTCAGTCTATGATTCATTCTCCTCTCTATGCATATATGTACCTTGCTGTGCCCTTATGCAATTTCACTATGAATTTGCCTATGTATTTGTTCACATATATACTTATTCGCCTCTCTGCTTCATATTCGTTTGATGTAATTATAGCTTTGTGATCTGTGCTATTCGCTACTAAAACTGTAGTTGCCGCTTCTCATTGCCTTCTGATATTTAACATTCTTGAGATTTATATTATAACGGTTGTCGAGGTGATTGAATAACTAAGCAAAGCCACTACAAATGACATATCATGTAATAAATATTATTACTCAATAGGATAGTAGAGAACCCCTTAGCTTTTACAGTATATCAGTAAAGGATCTTAGTATAATTAGAAAATTTTCTGCAAGAATATTATACGAGTATTCACCAGAAATTTTTTTGATGTGTTAAACATTATCAGAATAGTATCTGGTGTAATATGTACTCGGGATACCCATCTTAACCTTCAGGTATAAATTCTAACATCCACATTTTTCACTTATAATAGCTAATTTCTACTAGGTCAGTTTTATGAGCTACATTTAAACCAAATGCCTGAAAATATAAATTTAAGAATAACCCAAGTTTATTAGTTAAAGCAATAAAAGACTCTACTATCATCAGTTACACAATAAAGGAACTTTTGAATCATTTTTTAGTTGCGGAGCTTCCCTAACAGCATTCACTTTGTTGTTGTTATTATTATTTGTTATACTTCTGTATTAAACAGAACGTTGTATCAATTATAAAACCCTACCTGTAACTAACTTCTCTTCTTATTGATACTTATAGACAAAGTATTATGTAATATACTAGGTTTGCAGCAATCTAAACTCATTTGATCATCTTTTCTTGAAATATAAAGTTCTCTTGAAAAGTCTGATATTATTTATTACTACTAGATGCAACTTTCACTACAGTAGTGCTGTTTTGTTCCCGTTGATACCCCTGGGAGTTACATGACACAATAAATACTATACGATACTAAGAATCACATTCAATTTCCACTGTAGCTAGCAAAATATAAAAGTAATATTCTCAGGTTATTGAAACGCATTCTACTCTGTTACAGTTTAATTAAATTCTGACAGTTTTTATGACTTTATATACCTATATTGTTTGTTATTTAACATTTAGTGAGATTATTTTCCATTTTTCCTTAAGATGAAAGTGTGGGCATGAAGTTTAAAAAGAATGCCTGTCGTGAAATGAGAAATTTCGTTCAAATTCTCTACATAACAACTGAAAGTAAGTGGAAGTTTTTAAATGTTCTCACAAATATTCAACTATTTAGACCATAACTATGTAATAGATTCTTGCAACGCACTTTCAACAGTTTTATCACATCTTTACTTGTTAAAACATTTGTAAAAAGAAAATCGAATGTCTATAGGACAGATTAAAAGTAAGAGAAAAGCTAAGACAATAATCAAAATGATGTTAAATGCCATCACAAAGTATTAGCACAAGATTACTCTCATTCAAAACATAAGTTTGTTGAAGCCCCTACTATATAATGCTTCAAACCCCCTTGAGTTCAGAATAATCTGTACTTAAAATAAACCTACCCTGGTGAGGTTGATTTATTATCCGGAGTGGTGTGTTTCATATCCTTTTACTTATGACCTTTGATTTCCTCTTATCTTTCAATATGATTGGTCGACAATCAGTTTCCTGTCTACAAATGTCTTCACAAGTTAATTTGTGGTCAGACTGTTAGAATTATATTGAGCCAATAAATTAAATATTTCTAGTTAACTTTACATTTTCAGTGCACTAACTAAATTTATAAAAATAAAGCAACTTTTAAATTTTAAAATACTTAAACTTTACATGTGTTATTTTAATTTAACTACTGATTAAATTGCTAGTAGTAAAAATAAATAAACAAACTTTTTATCGCATGAGCAGCATGCAAATAATTGGTTTACATTTTCAGGGCACAACTTGGATATACATTGAATTAAAGTGTATTTACTCTGTTCAAACTAGTTCGACCAGCCTTTCAATATCAAATCACTTCACTGATATTCATATTCGTTCATTTTGGTAGGATTCTTCAACTAAATAAATCACATTCATTATTATTTGTACCTCTTATATCTTGAAATGTATATAAATCGATGGATCGATAAAAAAAAGCTATGGTGTTTACAAAGCTAGCGTAAGACTTTATTTTACTAGTTTGTCAAAATAGGTTTATTCGTGAATTAAGTTATTGCTACCAGTTGGACATAAACGTGGTATATCATGGAGTGTTTCTTACACTCTGTTGCAAAGCTTAATTTAAATTTTCATCGTGTTTCCGAAAGTTACGTTACAAGATAGATTATGACTATTTCTTTATAGACATTATTGATTTCCACCAATTATGACTTCCTGATGGAATTTCAGAAATCTATTTTAATGGTTTTCCCTAGCAGGTTAACAACTGCTTTGTTAGTTTAGTTCAGATTCCTGAAGGGTTTTTGGAGTAAACACATGATTTACATATGTTTTATCAAAAAGTTTAAGAATTAATAAAAAATTTACCGCTTTCCGCAGGTATTTGAATATTTTATTCTTAATTACATAATTGATATTATTCAACAAAGAGAATTAGTTTTCAAATTCAAGCAAATTATTCATTATAAGGTGACAGTTTTCTTGATTAACGAAGTTGAGTATATGAAAATAACTAAGGGCGAAAAGTATTCACAATTAGTCAGTCATGACCAATGTAGAACCTGGCATAAATGTGTATCATTTAAAGCTGTCAGACGTATTAGCACAGTGGTATGAAATAACCAGGACAAATACCTTAGTATTATAAGTAGCAATAGTATTAGCTGTATAATTTTCAGTTACAGAAAATGAGCAAAATAGTGTATAATGAAAGAACATTTCTGTTTGAAAAATATCACCTATAGGCATCTTTCATATCATTCCTTAAGTAAAATAAATTCCTCCACAAGTGTTAAGAATACATATATAATAAGTAATCTCCTTCAATGTAGCGATATAATGAAAGGATACTAAAAGTGTCATGACTTCATCAACTTGAAAAAATAACGAAAGACGAAACTATTACTGTTATCTCCTACTCCATGTATAATATATCTTCCTCTTCTGTCACGTTATTATCACACGAACAATACATCGCGAAACATTTCCTCCTCCTATCAAACATCTAATCGGAAAATAATACAACTAATCACAATTTCTTTGAAATTTTGTTTCGTGAATCAAGTGAACTGAGTGACTATTTGAGAAGGTTAAATTTAGATCTTTCAGTTGACACCTCCATGGTTTACAGTTCTAACTTTTATATATAAGCTGTGAAACACTATCATCATTGATTGTTTTCAGTAATACATATCTTACTATGGACACGGTTGAACTCATTTATTATTAAATGACTGGTATTTTGAACCATAAGATATGATGATATTATATAATGCTTTAAATGAAAGCTTTCATTTAGACAGGTAGAAAAAGCTGTCTCAAACCAACCATTTGATGGGCACTTTCTGAAAATATATGGCGTTTTGTTTACACATCTTTTAGAAAAGTTAATGACAACCAACTGTAACCAATGTCATAAAGGAGAATGTTATAGTTTTTTGGTATAAATGATGTATCTGTCTACCTATTAAAAGTTGAGGATATTATGTAGCAGTTTACATTGTAATGCCTTATGGCTGATAAATACATCATTAAAAAGTGAAAGACATTCATAATTTGTTAGTATACGATTTTAGATATCTTTGAAGTATTGGTTGAGTCTAGTGACAGCACTAAATGAATGATAATCACCTAAAGCCAAAGTAATGAGTAGAAATGATAAATTACTTGATGATAGTAGACTTTTGTTAATATTAGGGCAGCCATCTGCACCTACTCACTCTAATAACCAGCACCGAGGGAGTTGGAACAAGGTAATGGATGATTATATCAAAACAACACATCAGCTTACCTCTGTTTTTTGGCTGATTTGATGAAACATCAATACAATCCACTCTCTGTGTTCTCTCAAAATCTAATCTTCTGTTCACTTCATGTCTTTTATTTTCTTTCCAAATCTATTCCACTGGACTATACTCCTTAAATAACATCATCAAACCCTAATGTTCCCTATCACTACTTATACTTTTAGTACCTCTACCACTATGGGATTTGGATCGATAACTGAATCTCTGTGCTAATGTGGTATGGCAATTCGAACTGATGTACGTACGTACGAAGTTCCACGTTGTTACTGAATGACTAACTGACTGACTGGATCTATCAGTCAATAATATGATATACTTTAACATTTATTGATCAGTAATTCAACCAACCCGAAAATATAATGTGCTCATGAGTATTTCGTTGACTTTAATGATGGGGATTAGTTAATATCGAAAGCACCGAGGACTCAAACTTATTTGTAGACCGATGAATCCGACCACCCAGATAACTCTGTTACAAGACTTGCGTTTCCCTGAACAGTAAACTAAACGGTCAGATATGTAAAGAAAAACTTGCATATCTACATACGAATCACAACATATCACCTCAGTATTAATATCTCCGCCCATGAAATTTTATGATGCTCGTTCTCATATCACCGAAAGCTCTAGTTCCCCCAGGATTCCAGGAACGTCTTGCCGATAAATATTAGCTGACAAGAGATCTAGGTTCAGAGTTTCCTACAGATTTCCTAATTTTAGCCAACTAACGTTAAAACATAGTGTACTTGACGTTTAGTTACATAGACTAACGTTCACATTGTGACGTGATCGACAGAACCTCATTAGCATCCAAAACTATGTAAACCTGACATTTATTACCACTGAGTTATGAATACATATGGAATTTAATCACTTTAATAATGTAAATAAAAATATTCAATAAAATTCTGAGATTCTAATTATTGTATAGAAAGACAACAAAAGCTATACAATTAGATCAATCAGTGCAGAAAATTCAACTAATCACTAAAAATACCTTACTAAGTTACAAATATTTCCTTGATAGATACATAGATACAAGTGACACATTTGTTACAAATAATGATCAATAGTTTTATCATTAATTCACTGAATCTTCCTTTTAGAGCACTTAGAAACTAGTAGGAATAATGCTTACTATTTCACCATGCTTTATTTTCTATCTACTCTCCTATATTAAATGTATTATACTAGAGGAACGAATGAGTCAAGGTATGAACACTAAGAATATTACCCCATATGTAATGGATACTTTAGAAGGTGAAATCGGTCGAATAGTTGGATATAGTGTGAAGGTACGTTTTTAATCTGATTTAAAAGAGATAATACTCTTTGTTCCTTACTCTTTCTCGTTTATTTAAACTCTCAACCATACTACTTTTATTTACTTATTTAAATGCACAAACATTGGTACAAGGAGGCACCAAATAGATATGTGCCACATAAATCATTCGACTTGTGTGAGGGCTAGGATACTGACCTGGTGCACAAACCAAAGCAGGTGGTTTTCTTAGGAGGCTACACCGGAAGCATTTGATCTAAAGGTCTTATCCACAAGGCAGTTGAGTAACGTATGGAGATGCAATCCCATGGTAGCCGGTGACCAACAATAGGTTCATATGCCATTTGTCGCTTCAGGATCTTGTAGTCCATGTGCACCATTGGTTTCGAAACAGGTTTTTCCAACTCCCCTAAGTGGACTCTCCACATCCACCAACCCGGTTAAAGCACGGGACATTAGATTCGCGTTCTTTCAATTTTGTAAGCGGCATCCATGGTGCGAGAAGGCAGTGAGTAGGACTTCCCTGGAAGTGGTTGTAAGAACGTGGCCATATGAGAGCATTTCGAGAGGGAGAGCTGACTCTTCCTACTCTCATTTGGGGGCAAACATACTACTTAATTACTAATTAATTGGATATAAAATAATCTTATGTTATACAAATAATAAAATTGATCTGATATATCTGGGTCCCTGAATGTTGTATTATAACATCATTTCAATCTTAAGATAAATATTACAAAAACTGACAAATCATTCATAAGAAATATGAATAATGATGGTAAAGGACAGATTCATGACTAAAGAAATTAATTCTTTTTGTTGAAAATCGTTCGCTTTAAGATAAATAAAATGGATTAAAGACCTTAAGGAAAAAACCAGTAACCTGGACAGTATCATCATACGCTGTTAAGTTTTGTTTCTTCTCTGGAACCAGATTCCAAAATTTTGGCAATCTGGTTTTATGAATTGGCTATTAAAAACTTTCCAAGTTTTATGATCATTCCAGAGGTAACTATGATGAAGACTTATTGTATTACTGATTAATGTAACGGGATATGTTGTGGTGTCCAGATATCAATTTGGTAGTGACTTTTTTAAAATAAAATACCTGTAGAAAATACCCTTGAATATAATTACCAAGTATAGATTAATGTATTTACGAAAATGAATATGACATATATACTCAAATAAACCATTAACTGAAAGACCATGATTTCTACTTTTAGTATTGGGGCTTATTTTGATACTTGAGTTTACTTTCCTTTCTAAAAGTAGTATTAAACAAATGTTATTATATATCCTCTGGTTCACTTTTTCATCTATGTACACTTATGGAAACTTGAGTTCAATACTGTGTATCACGACTATAACGTGTTGATTATTCTACTCAGTTTCCAAAATATGTAACTTATTTTTGATTTTCTGGACCCATGCGATCCTGATAAATGGAGTACTAACTTACTTTACTTACGTCTGTTACTCCCAATAGATCATAGGCCACCGATCAGCATTCTTCAACACACTCTATCCTGGACCTTTCTTTCTAGTTCTATCCAATGATTGTTCATTCTCATGTCTGTCTCCATTTCTCAGCGTAATGTGTTCTTTTGTCTTTCTCTCCTCCTTCGGCTTTGAGGATTCCATGTGAGGGCTTGCCTTGTGACACAGTTGGGTGCTTTCCTCAATGTGTGTCTTATCCACTTCCAGTTCTTCTTTCTGATTTCTTCCCCTGCTGAGGCCTAGTTTATTCTCTCCTACAGTAGGGAGTTTTCTATATTGATGAAACACGTTTTAGTGACTCGATATCTGACTCTATTTAAATCGTTTGCTGATTGTTATCGAATTATACATTTCATCAACCGTCGTATATTCTTATCGACCTAATTCGCGTTAAAGAATAATGGGATAAAATAAGTCGAATACAAGAATAAATTTTGAATACGTATATTTCACACACTCACTGATCCAGACAAATAATTAACAAAAAAACGAAGTCAAGGAAGCGAAGCAAAACGTAAAGAAAAGGAGAATTTCGTTGAAAAAAAACTGGAAATGAAGAGAAGTCAAACAATCTGGTTGTAGCAACATTTCATTTTATATTTATGTACTGAGAAGTCTTGCTAATTGAACGCTACATCCGGTTCCTAAGCTCTTCTAGTAACCGCAGGCTAAATCTACACATCAACTTGAACACGAGAGAAAAGGCGCGAAATATGACAGAAAACGCTCTACTCCAAAGGTTTGTTTATGTACAGAAAATCTAGGGTTTTTTATAGTATTTTAGTTTTTCTCGGGTTTCTCGAAAATTCTGGAATGCTACTAAACATAGTTGCAGTATAAGTAATTATCCAATCCGAAACTCGACATGTGACTTTTCAGCTTCTTGATGTTTCTGGCAAAACTTCTAATGAACGCTTATTGGATGAGATGCTTCTCAGTGTTTTCAAAGCCCTTGTTGGCTTTTTTCGAGGAGTTTTCTGGATCCCCTAACATGTACAAAATGAAATTATAATGAGATATCATACTTAATCATATAAAATTTAATTATATTTTTAAAACAAAATTTTATTATTATTACTATTATTATTAATACTATCGATTTAACTTGAATAGGGTGTTACAGATACAAACAGTTTGGCTGGTGAAGATGATAAAGAATCTGTTACAATGGTTGATCGTGATGGTGTAGAAGGACGATTGGCTGAAATTCTTTTCAATAAAGTATTTATGAGCTTTTCTTTTTAATAACAATTTTCATTATGAATTGTAACTACAGAAGAATATTTTATGAATTATTTAGGTTATGATCAATCTGCTAAGTAAATATGAATAGAGTAGAGTGAATAAAATCTGAATTAATTGACATAAGATTCTGCCAGAGAAAAAAATGTTAAAAGACTGGAAAACTTACCAATAAAAAAATGGATTGTATTGTACTATATCAAATTAACACCGTTGGGTGCCGACCAGTTCAGTGGTCTAGATGTTAATCGTTCGCATGCGAGACTGATAGGTCCTGTGTTCGAATATAGCGAGACGGGACCGTGGATGAGCACTGCTGAGGAGTCCCACAACAGAACGAAATGGCTGTTCAGTACTTCTAGGTTTTCCATGGTGATCTAGCATCAATTGACTCATGATCTCAACCATTAGAACTACCATAATATCCACAAAAACCCTTCTAATATAAAAAAATAATGTGTTTAGATGAAAAATATTTACCACAAAAATATTCACATCTAATATTTACATTAAAATTCAAATGTTCAAAAGATTCGGCTGTTCTAGGCCATTTGTCAGTATATAATACTAATAGTGAGACAAGATGGTGGTTGAAGGTAGTCAACAGGAAACATTAGACCCGGGTTTCGTGCTACTTGGCACTCGTCAGCAAGGTGTACCTGTGATCTTGAGGGACCTGATACTCCCTGACGGGTTCGATCTCGTGTCACGCAGCTTCACAGTCAGAGACGTGACTGACCTCCTGTAGGACTGAGATGTATTTACAATTGATTGATCACTGGGTGGTGACCAATATCTTGTACGTCAGGTCCTTCTTATTGCAGATCGAATCCTATCGAATAATAGTGAATTATATGCTATATACTCTCGACTCCAGAAAATTTTTATGATCCTACAATCTCTATCTAACGTCATCATTGCTAATGCCAAACAAGGTTGAAAAATTTATCAAGTGATCTTGATTCTTATTAGTTTCTCGAATGACATTGCAACACGAAGGAAAATTATCTTCAAACCATATACAAGTAAAAATTCACTTTGTATTGTTTGTTTTCGTCTTTTTATTGATTTTTTTGGGACTGCAATTGATCAGTCTCTTATTGACATATGTGCATCCCGTGCAGATTGTCTGGATATTGCTTTAAGTCACAAGCAGGTACATTTAGCTGACGAGTCCTGAATGAGACGAAACGTACGTCGTACATTCCACTGCTAGATGCCACCCATATTTGCTTAAAATAAGATAGACTTTTTAATTATTTAGACAATTTCAAAAAAGTTAAGTTATCCATCACAACAAAATATTTTGGGCATATTAATCTTATACCCTGACCGTAGCTGCTACCTTGACGTGGTGGTCGGGCTTGCCTATCGTGATGACCCTACCGAGCTATATTGGCTAGAACATGTGTTCCTGCAGGTTCTACCATGCCAGGCAGGTCGATTGGAGAACGGTAAGACTAAAAGCAGCAACTCAAGTTCTGAGGGCGAAGTCGTACTACTGACTGTACAGAGGTGTGACAACAGTAATGTGTTTCCCTCGGACAACCAGCATCTGCAGCGATGCTGCCTTCTTACTAGGAAGGAAGGGGTTAGAAAAGGTTGACGCTAAAAATGCACACCTCACCTTACGCCACGGATTTCCGTATCCGGCGGTAAGGCCCTTCGAAGAACGGAGCTAACACATTAAAAACCTCCCACAAAAAGGCCGTGCGCGACCGGCCTCAAGCAGTTGTTCCTTGGGCTCTGCGATCACACACCCAGGTTGATAAGACCAACACTAATCCGATTTCCTTTTCAGATTCCTCCAGAAATACCCTTCCACGGTGTGGGCAACCGGAAAGTGATATCAGCCCTCATACCCGTAACAGCACACGAGACCAAGTTGGTCACATTCAAATCCTTTCTACACCTCCTAATAACTCTCTTATCTCCACGACCAACCCTTCTCATGTCCCTTTATCACCTCGTTCCGCTAGTGCAAGCGAACCGGGTACGCGGAATGTTATTCCTGGTCTCCTGAAACCACGTTCTAAACTACACGTAGGAGCTTTCAACGTCCGTACATTGTGCCAAATAGGACAACAGGCTTCCTTAGCTAAGACTTTAGAATCTCGCTCCATCGATGTGTGCTGAGTCTCCGAAACGCGACCACAGGATTTCAGTAGTGTCATTCATTTGACTTCACCATGTCGAAGTAACGAGCCAGCTCGATTTACGCTTCGTGTATCTGGAAGCCCTGATGCTGCTTCCCATGGCCTCGCAGGCGTAGGTATAGCATTGAGTCCTAGAGCAGAACTAGCTATCTTAGACTGGATCCCAGTAGACAGTCGTTAGTGCGCTATCCGACTAAATGGAAGAGTAAGGACTCGGAAAGATAGGGGCACTCGTCGTTGCCTCTTTGTCGTCTCTGCCTACTCTCCCACTAACCGCAGCTCAGATAATGTGAAAGATGAGTTTTACAGAAAGCTTTCCGACCTTCTCCGAAAAGCTAGGCGCTCTGATGTAGTAATAGTGGCTGGTGACTTTAATGCTCAAGTAGGTAAACTAAGCGAAAAAGAAAGACACCTGAGTGGATCTTATGGTGTCGCCGCTCAAAGAACAGATAACGGCGACCGTCTGTTGCAGCTATGCTCAGATAACCGCCTGTTTCTTGCAAACACTAACTTTAAGCATAAGGAAAAACATCTTTTAACATGGCGACCCCCTAATTCGTCCCAACGCTGGACCCAAATAGATCACATAGCTGTCAGCCACCGATGGAGGGGCTCGATAGAAGACTGTCGCTCATTCTAAAGCACATGCTTAGACTCAGCTCATGCTCTGGTGCGAGCGCGTATTTGTCTACGTCTTACTGGACGTAGGAAACATGCTGCAAGGAAACCCCTTAGGGTCCTACTTAATGATAGTCAAGCTAAGAGTATATTTCAGGAACATCTAGAAAAACAGTTAGACAGCATGGAATGACATCCGAAAAGATGTAGAAACAGCAGTGATGTCTGCAAGTACGGTAAACCATAAGGTTAGGGAGAAACACTGGATCTCAGCAGCGTCTAGCGCACTGATAGATGCTCGAAAACTCATTCCATCTGGCTCTGAACATAACGAAGAGCGGAGTCAGCTTAAGCGTAAGCTGACTAGAAGCTTACGCAATGATCGTGAACAGTGGTGGGTAGCGAGAGCAAGAGAGATGGAAAAGGCAGCGGCAACAGGTAACAGCATTTAACTGTTCAGACTTGTTAAGGAAACTGGTATTAGGGACCCAACTGTTAGCGAAACAATCTCAATCCAGGAGATTGGATCGATGGGCATAACACTTTAGGTATCAGTTCAACTGGCCTTCAGTCACACTTCGGTTTCCCACGATCTCCAATCTACCTGAATGGCAAATTTATGTAAGTCCTCCGACTCTTTACGAAGTTGAAAAAGCTATAGGAAGTCTGAAGCGTGGGAGAGCAGCAGGTTCTGACAGGTTCACCCCTGAGATTTTTAAGGATGGTGGTCCAGTATCAGCAGCGATATTGACTGAGGTCTTAAGTAGAATCTGGGAACTGGACGTAATCCCATCTGACTGGTCTCAATCACTGATTGTGTCAGTCTATAAGAAAGGACAAAAGTCCTCCTGTGACAATCACAGAGGAATTAGTTTGACTAATATAGTGTCTAAAATATTAGCTTCAATAATACTTCGACGTCTAACCAAAGCTCGTGAAGAGCAGACTCGAAAAAACCAGGCTGGTTTTCGACCTGGATAGGTTGTATAATCAGATATTCACACTACGTCAGGTCCTAGAACATTGACACACATTCAGACGCCCCACAATGGTAGTACTTCTCGACCTTAAGGCGGCATTTGACTCTGTTGATCGTGAGGTTCTATGGCAGTGTTTGTCACTGAAAGGAGTACCAAAGAAGTACATTGACCTTATAAAGGCTCTCTACTCGAATACAACTGTTCGAGTGACAGCTTATGGCGAGCTGTCATCAGAACTGATTACCTCAAGTGGTGTTCGTCAGGGCTTTCCACTCTCTCCATTCTTGTTTAACTTCATCGTTGAAGTGCTTCTAGAGACGACACTTTCCTCAGCTAAATTTCCAATAGTTGAACTTCTACCGGGAGATCCACTTGTTGACTTAGAATATGCCGATGACATAGTTCTATTTAGTGAAGACATTGACAAAATCCAGAGTCTGCTGACCACTCTAAGCAACAATGCGGGCATGTTCGGCATGCGATTTTCTCCCTCGAAATGCAAAATGTTGCTTCAGGATTGGGTTGCGTCGACACCCGAACTAGTGATAGGGAGTGAAGTAGTTTGGCGTGTCAACCGCTTCAATTATCTTAGAAGCCTCATCAGCCCTTGTGGTCTGGTGTGTGACGAAATCTCAGCACGGATACAGAAGGCTCGACTAGCTTTTGCCAACTTGCGTCATTTGTGGCGTAGGCGAGATATCCGTCTATCAACCAAAGGACGTGTTTACTGTGCAGCAGTTCGTTTCGTCCTACTTTATGGCAGTGAAACATGGCCAGTAAGAGTAGAGGATATTCGTAGGCTACTAGTATTTGATCATAGGTTTCTTCTAAACATTGTTCGTATATCCTGGGACCACCGAGTAAGTAACTCAGTTGTTAGGAAACGAGTACTAGGTAAGGATGGCAAATCAATTGACGAAATAATGAAACTTCTTGGGTTGAGATTGCTGGGACATGTGTTGCGCATGCCCGACCACCGACTGCCACGACGTGCGATGTTTTATGGTAGAGGAATAGGTTGGAAGAAAGCAAGGGACGGCCAGATCAAAACGTGGCACAAATCCATGAAGTCACTGACAAATGGACTGAGCCATGTTGGTAGGTGTAGACTACCTAGTTGGGATCCGCTAGATGATAGCAAGCGATGGTTAGAGATCTTGAATGACATGGCTCAAAATCGTTTGCAATGGCGCAGGTGCATCCACTCTTTGTGTTCTCTCAAAATCTAATCTTCTGTTCACTTCATGTCTTTTATTTTCTTTCCAAATCTATTCCACTGGACTATACTCCTTAAATAACATCATCAAACCCTAATGTTCCCTATCACTACCTCTACCACTACGGAATTTGAATCGATGACTGAATCTCTGTTCCAATGTGGTATGGCGATTCGAACTGATGTACGTACGTACGAAGTTCCTCGTTGGTACTGACTGACTGACTGAATCTTATACAAACGATAAGTAACGAAATATTCCCGTTTTTTATTTCAACCAACCAGTTAAACTAAAACGCTTTCGGTGTTAATGAGTTCACTAAGACAGATTGTTTAGTTTAGAAAATAACGAAACTCACGAAGACAACCAATCACAATGAGGGTCAATAAAAAGAAATGATCTGACGCACATGGAATGACTAAGAAGCTCTTTTTTTCATAAAGTCGGTTCCGATTATGGTTTCTAAAACGGTAAAGATACCCTAACTAAGCTATATAGCTAAGAATACTCGTCAGCTCTAAATTATCGTGACAGGCAAGTGGGACTTCAACGATTTGAATAAGTCACACTTCTATATGATAATGGGACTAAATAAGTGAAAAGTTCAGTGAGGGAACAAAATTCCGTTTTACACCTGGAAATGGCTTTACAATTAGTACAATCAGCTGTTAACCACTTGATATTAAACATAACATTATTTTAGCTATCTCTGGTTCAAGGACCTATGATTGGTGACTTACATACATAACGTTTCAGTTATTCCTTGTTAACGCTGAGGACTTAAATTAAAATTGAATAGGTCGGAGTCTCAATATAATTATTACAGGTGGGTTGAAGGTACATTTATCTGACAAGTCCCAAATAAGATAAAACGTATGTTATCACTCCACTATACGTCACATACCAATTATACTAAGACATGTAACATAATGCTATATTGAAACACGTACACATGATAACAATGACTGATTAAGTGAAGCTTTAAATATCAATTTAAGAAATTATAAGTTCTTATTAAGATGTTTCAATTGGTAATTACTTTCGGATTTGAAAATTTAGTAACGTTCTGGCAACTAAACTTACAGAGAAATTCCGAGTAGCGACTACAGTTATATCGAATGGAAAATTTCATATGTCGTATGCATCAATAACCAGCCCTTAAGTTGGCATAAACAATATTGTAATATAATGTTTATCCAAAGAAAAATCCACTATCGAATGAACAATAAAAGGTAGAATGACTGGACATCAAAAAAGAGTCGTTCTATTCAGCATAGTTACATCAATCATGCACGCAATATAAACAAGAATGTGTAAACCTGGTTAAAAACTAGTTCAAAATATAGATAATCGTAGGGTTTGAACTTTGGTAGACTATTTACAATCCAATAAATTTGAAATCTGACTATATCACGTATGATCACTACTTATTTCAAGTAGTATAATTCATTCGACTTATTTAGTCTCTCTTTATTTCATAACATAAACTATTCACGAGGATATATATTTTTTATGATTTTCTTAATTCTTTACAGCTCTATTCGGACATTAATTCTACGAAACAAGTGAGTTACTTGTTACTAACAATAGTTGAGAATGAAATAATAGTTTCCAAGTAGTATTAGACATAATTCATGAATATACATCATCTACAAATGATAATGGTCGCAAATATGAACATTTCTATTTCAACTCAAATATGTCATACACTCAGTAAGAGTTAAAGTTTCTACGTTCGAATTAAATGTGAGGTTGTCATCTCATATTACTGAAATGTCCAATTGTCGTTTGACTAACACAAATAAAATAAAAAATTTATTAAATTTAAGTGAAGTTTTGTTGTCTTAGATGGATGGTCTGTAGTGATGATATTGTTCACAAGAACAATAAAAGCTTCATGAACAAACCATTTAGATCAGAGAACAAAACTTCATTTAAATCATCTACTTAAGCTACAAATCTTCTCCACTATCTTAACTTTGTTAAATATACATATATGTTCAAAATCAACTTCAATGCTTACATCAAAAACATGATTAGTAAAATTCAAAGAACATAAACACTGGAGTTTATGTCACTGTTCAACCAAGATATGAAGTTTTTCAGTTAATAAGCTTCATTTTCATAAGGCATCATTCAGTTTATAATATGTAGATGTCATCTAAGCTAATCTCCATGAAATCATCTGATTCATTATAAATATTTAACAATTTTTAAAAAGATACGAACTTGACACAACAACACAAAAATATTGTTGACATTAAGGATCTATCTAAAAGAAATCAAACACAAACCTTCCCTTTTTTTCGTTTACTCACCTACTCTATTAATTCTATTGATGAGCAGTCAGTTAACAATTTACTTATTATGCACAATCGGTAATGTTGTTTTAACTCTGCAATAGAATAACGTTTATTTTAATAGATGAGATCATGAATCAATTGAAGCTAGACCACCGAAGAAAACTTGGAGGCACTGGACAGCCACAAGACTCCTGATATTAATCATTGTATGCTCACTAGTTACAGTCTCCAAGAGGTATTGCATGGAGTTCTAGTGAGAAGCAGTGACCAGTGGAGTTCAACCGGGTCTGTTGTGAGATAGTAACTCACTGATGACAATGGTGGATGTGTCGCTCAATTTCGTGGATTAGTTGAAGTTAGAAATTAACACCGTTAGACGCTAGCCAGTTCAGTGGTCTAAGTGTTAATCATTCGCACGCAAGACTGATGGATCCTGTGTTCGAATCTCGTGAGTTGGGATCGTGGACCTGCTGAGGAGTTTCAAAATAGAACGAAACGGCTGTTCAGTGCTTCCAGATTTTTCATGATGATCTAGCGTCAACTGAATCATGATCTCAACTATTAAAACTACTATAATATCCACAAAACCCCTTCTAAATAATGTTTAGTCTGTGTTTTTTTAATTTTAATTTTATCCGTGTCAGATCTTTTTCATTCTATCTATAGTTTTTTATACAATTTAATTCACTCATTCAATAATTACTGGGTTGTTGATTTTTTTCTTTCTTTATTTCAATTTAGGAGACTGTTAGAAAATTTTCATTTCAAACATCTAATCCCGTAGTAACTAATACAAATTTAAATAAATCATCTTTCAATTTCATGACTCAATCAAATCAAAAAGATGAACTCATTGTTACAGAAGGTTTTCCAATCAAAATGGAATATTCTTTACCATATAATGAACAATGCGGTTAGTATTAATAAGTTAATTAAATATTAATAAATGTTCGAAACTTGTCTTAAATTCTTCTGTAGGACCACAATTAAGTGACCAAGTAAAGTATCGTTCAGCCAATACACGTCAACTGAAAACAGAGCATCTTCATGATCTATACTATGCTGCATAGTCTAAATGATGTTAAAAATTAACCCTGATATGATGATCAACCCGAGATATGTCAAGTGAGAATTAAGTCTAATGGTAAAATTCTCATCTCATTAGAACTATGAAATCCTTTTCTTTAAAACTCTTCATCTTTCAATTGACTTATAAAAATATTTGCTCCTTGTGCTAAATATATTATGCGTAGGTATGTAATTTTATGAGAAAAAGACTTTTATTCCGAGGCAGCTACATTGTTCTCTTATTTGTGTACAATTTATGGCTTTCATCAATAATTCATTCTTGTGATTAGACAATACTCGGCTACACCGTATCACATCATATCGTCAATCGATTGGTATTTCTTTATTTATTTCAAAAGTATATGAATGATAATGATAACATTTCAAACCTTCTTTGTAATGAAAACTTATAACCCAATAAGCATAAAAATAAGTCATCACATCTTCTATGGTAGATTTGCCTAGCTTATGAGTTCTTCAAGATTAATACTTAGTTCTTAATAAGCTTTCAACTAAACTTAAGATTTATTTCGTATAAGACTAGCTATTATTCAACGAATTACTAATGATATTATTTAATTAAGAGTTTACATTGAATAAAAGAGGAAAGAAATGGGTTCTCGTTGTTCTCATTGTTTAAAATGGAGTCTATATTAAATGAAGTATGCATAACGTGTATCATTTTCACAATATCATAGTAAAACAAACATCAATTCAAAATGAATTCAGCATCCAATAATGATTTCCAATATTTAGTTGTCACTAATTGAATCAGTAGGACACTATTTCTACTATAATTTTATATCCGCTTATTATTTCCACTAGATTGTTTTATTCTTTTTCATATCTCTCTTTCCCCCCCCTCACCCATCCAAACTTTTTAGAACTTCAATGGTATAAATTAAACAATAAAAATCAACGAGTCCCAGTCAAACTTGATTTTCGTATTGAACATGTTATCACTGGTACAATTAATATATCATTCAAACAACATCAACAATTAAATCATCAGTATCCGAAATATCCATTCGTATTGTCAAATTCAGGTTTGATTACAAGTGAAACAAAACAAAAGTTGAATCAATGGAATTGTAAATTATTAGAATCTGAATCAAATACTAATGTCAATAATAATAATAATAATAGTGGTAATGAAATTATCTACCTACAACATCATCTCATTATATGGGCAAGTAAACTTGAAGATGCTGGAAGATATTTTGCATCAAATCAATATCCATCGAATACAGATGGTATATCATCAACCGAAGAGAAGGAATTTATACTACAAGTAATGAGTAAGTTGATTAATTTTATTTGTAAAACTTAGAGAAAAAACACGGTATTTATCTTGTAGTAAGAGTACAACTTGTTAAGCAAAGAAAAATAAACTCTTAAATTCACTTGGTATTGTTTTACTTGAATCATCCCATTGATGTTTAAGACTGCAAATGATCAGTCTCTTATTGGCATATATGCATATTGTGCATATTGCCTCGATATTGCCTTAGTTCAAAAGCAATATAAACAAAGATGGATAGTAGCTAGCAGTGGAATCCAGTTCGACGCGCGTTTCGTCCTACCTTGGACTCGTCAGCTGGATATACCTGCATCCCAGAGTTGATGTTCACTCTGAGACTCGAACCACTAGAGTTCCGTAAAGGCAAAAATATTTTATTTCCAGTATTAATTTACATACATGTTTTCAGTTATATATTTAAGTTGATAAACGATTAACTCTACAATATACATTATCCATCAACATTACTTAAATTGATCTCGGGCAAAATCTCATAACTGACTTTATTTATGTGGTTCATTTAAAAAAAGTCTGAGAAGCTTAAGTAAGCCCAGAAACATTTTGAATACGTATGAACGGTCAGTTACTTTGTTATCGTTTTGATTTTTGTAGGGTTTAAGCTTATTAAAACTTATAGAATCCAGTAGTAGACTAGAAATTCGATATTCCAAGTATATGATATGAAGAGTAGAAGTTCAGATTTACACTTTGTTAATGATAGGATAAACCGTCTACAGTTAATACGTACAGAACAACAATACTGAAAATATTTCACTAGAGCGGTCAAATCCATCTTTTTGATTCATAATGACAGTGAAAACAATCAGATATAAAAATACCATTCATTTTAAAGATTAATAATCTTAATTTATTTCGACGTCGTGTATATACTCAAGAAAATGACTAGTCACTGATAGTTAACTTTATCAGTTCTTTAATTCACCGATAAGAATGGGCTCTTATGATGAAATAATCCATTTCTCTAGGCAATTTAGTAATTATGATAACAATTGCTCTATTCAGTATCATATGTCTGACCGCATCAAAGAATTCTCAATGCAAAGTATGCAATATCGTACCGAATTCCCCATTTTATAACCATTTAAGTAGTGGATATTCTGCTATTACTATCCAACTGTAAACATTTGTGATCAGTCTTGTTTCCACGGAATTACATTGCATGTTTGAAATCTTTCGTAACCATTTCTCGTTTTTACACTCAACAGAAAAGACAGAAAATAAATAAAGTAACGTAGAGGTACTTTAGGATTTCTTAATAATCTCATTTGCAATAGATTGTAAACACTTTATGAAGGTGTACGAGGGGATGCGGCTGGCAGTCATAAGTGAATACAAATCCACAAAGAGTAACACTTATGGGAAAATAGCGACTCAGAATTTTGAGCGGGCATTTATGAAATACATTGAACTATATCAGTGAAAGATAATAATGAAAACACAACTCGTAAAGTGATTGTAAACGATCAAAATTTGTTCTCTAAAACTTTTTGTTTTCCTTTTACACAATAAATTACCATTATTTGTGAATATTCTTCACATGAATACATGTATAGTCTCTACTAAAGTTAAATAATGTAGGAATGCTTTTGGTATTGTTATTTCTATGATTTGGTTAGTTAGTGACAGGAATATTGAAGCACATAGCAACAACGAACCCATACAAAAACAATCAATTACAAATCAGATCAGCGGAACTAATTGATTTAAAACCTTTACAACAATTCTAAACAAACTCAAATCTAAATTAGGTTGACAGTGATTTTGCTGTACAGAACGATAATAAAAGTTTCACAATTAAATGTTGCACAGCGAAAGTAGAACTATAAATAGCATCTAAGAAGTCATATTGTTTGTTAAAATAATACTAGTTTATGATAGAAATTATGAAGTTTATTTTACTGCTTACCTGCTGAATAAACTATAAGTTTCAATTGATATCTCTTTATTTTAAAAATTCAGAATCCAACCAATCACCAGGCAGTCCACAATGTTCACCAGAATTTATTGAACCCCTTATAGTACAACCTATGAGCAGTGCTGCCAGTGATCCTTTCATTGAAATGACATGTATAGTGACAGGCAATCCTATACCAAGATGTTTATTATACCGAAATTCAGTACCTATCCCAGTGGTTGTAATGCCTTTTCTCAAAAGCGAACCTAATGATCCACTATCTACATTGAGTTCTTTGACGCAAAAATACACTGTCACAACATCTTTGTTTGATTTAGATAAATCAGATCGTTCAAACAGTTATACAAGAAAAATTACACTACGTCTTAATAGACCATCCAGTTCAGAAGACATAGCCACCTATAGTTGCCGTGCATGGAATTGTAATGGTCGAACTATTACATCAACTGTTCTATCAATGCAAGGTGAACATTAACTAACCTTGTTTTTATTCATGTTGTAATCACATATTTTTTAGAAATCCCTGTAATCTGACTATAGTTTCCTTTTCATTAGGAGTTGAAACTTGAATGCTCTCTAAAGTAGCTTTTTCATAAAACTTGAAATATTCACAATCGATTGATGAAGTAGTGAAACTTCATCAGTTGAGATAGCTTGGACAGGTGTTACGTATGCCCACCCGATGACTGCCCCGACGTGCGATGTTTTATGGTAGAGGAATAGGTTGGAAGAAAGCTAGGGACGGCCAGATCAAAACGTGGCACAAATCCATGAAGTCACTGACAAATGGACTGAGTCATGTTGGTAGGTGTAGACTATCTAGTTGGGATCCGCGAGATGATAGCAACCGATGGTTAGAGATCTTGAATGACATGGCTCAAAATCGTTTGCAATGGCGCAGGTGCATCCACTCTTTGTGTTCTCTCAAACTCTAATCTTCTGCACTCTTCATGTCCCTTTCTTTTTTTCGCTCTCAAAATTTATTTCACCAGATTATACTCGTTGAATTTTCATCTTCAAACCCTAATCTTTCCAATTACTGGTTATACTTTCACTACCTCTACCACTATGGGATTTGAATCGACAATTGTATCTGTGTGCTAATATGGTATGGCAACTTGAACTGATGTACATACGTACGTACAAAGTTCTATGTTGCTACTGACTAACTGAATGATTTATACTGATTACATTATTTAAGAAGGATTAATTAACTACCTTTTCTATTCTAATCAATCATAGTTGAGTAGGTTCTCTTACAGTATGTTCCACAACTGTCCGCTGAAGAAAGAATTCGATTTTATTCCAAGGAATTCGAATGATTCTAATTGTTATTTTTCGGTAATACGATTTCTGCTTCTAATTTAGTTATAAATTGTTTATTTTCTCAACAACAGAAATAATGGTCTTATCCAAAATAAATTTCCTTCATAACTTCTTAAAATAGATCAAATAACTGAATATAATGTTCTTCAATTCATTTATTCTACATGACAATTGAAATAAATTTCAAATGTTTGTCAGATATTGTTTAGCAACTGAAGAATGATGTAATCTTAATAGTTTCATAAGCTTCAGTCATTAGATAACTTATGTAAGTTATGGCCTCCACCCTACAGATTATATATGTATATACAGAAGTCAAGCTAACATTGATCATAAACATTTAGTTACTATCTATCTATATTTTTCTTTCGAAATCATGATTTAACTATTCATTGTTTAGATCACTTCGCTAAATTCGATTGTCCCTTGGAAAAACCAAATTTGAATGACAATATCAATATGGTAAAAATTGAGTCAATTCAATCAGCAGTAAATACTTCTCAAAGTGTTCGTAATGTAAGCTTGTGTTCTATGTAAAATTCATCATCTTTTTCATGTAGCCATATTTTCAATAATAGTAGTGTAAATCATTTGTTAATTGGTCACATTATATGTACTTACTTGTGCCTGTTACTCTTCGTGAAGGAGCATAGGCCGCTCACCAGCATTTTCCACCCAACCCTGTCCTGGGCAATCTTTTCCAGCTCTTTCCAGTTACTATTCATCCTTTTCATATCTGATTCTATTTCCCAACGTAATGTGTTCTTTGGCCATCCTCTTTTCCGCTTCCCTTCAGGATTCTAAGTTAACGCTTGCCTCATAATTCAGTTTGATGATTTGCGTAATGTACGTCCTATCCATTTCCATTTCTCAAAAAAATATTACTCGATTTGACATACCTACAAAAGCATAATGAATGTGATGGCTTTTACTGAAGTATCATCGCAGACAATATTCTTATGTGATTATATTCAAAAACCCTTTGTATGATGCTTAAAAACTAAATCGCGAGATTTTCTTATAAAATTGTGACAAGTTTACTGTTGTATTCTGCAGCCCAATCACGTCATCATACCATCTTCTAGCTTTTTACCAAGTTGTTATATAAGAAATAATCAATAAAACAGAATGAGCTTTATTGCTAAAAGCCTAATTCTCATATTTGCAACTCATTCGTATGAACAGACTACTAGACCAACTCAAATATTGAGATTAGAGTGACAATCTTAACTTGATAAAGAAATCACCCAAAATGGCCAGGTGAAACTTATCGCTTATGTACCACGTAACTTTGGATTTAAATTTGATCTATTCGGAATTCCCTGACCTAACACTAACTTTGCAGTTCGAATAAATCAATTGTATTATATATCTTTATTGTACTGAGCTTTAAAAGTTGGAACCCTTTGTGAGATATGTATCCTTTCAAAGTTATAGATATCACTGGTTGTTCATTTTCAATAAGCACAAAAATAAGAAAAAAATTAGCCAATGTAACTAATTCTCTATAGTCACGTATGACTAAGGTAATGTTTTGACTGCGTTTTCAGTCGTGACAGATAATACAATTCTATTTGGAATAAGTCTGTTGAATCCACATACAATGACGTCAGTATTTTCATAATCTTGTACCCATAATTTAATAGTAATAAATATTATGACGAGCTACTATAAACTATGGGACCGATCATTATGGAAACCGGTAACGCCAGATATACTTGCCAAGTACTACGTTGTTTGACTGACTGTTTGCTGTTAAAGTTTGAATGTAATCAAATCTAAAAATCTTTCTATAGGTATGTTGATACTGCTTGCATTTGGTAGTGGTTTGAGTAGAGGAATTCTCTAAAGGCACAATATATGGCATCTCGATTTAAGTTTAATCAACTCACAACAAGAATAAATATCAGTAACAATTATATTAGACTATCCTATGTAAATTATACATAATTGGTAACGAATACTGTGTCCTTCATGATATGTCTGACAGTGCGTGTGTATACAAAATAGGAAAGTGTATGACCTGCAGTCCTACAATCCGTCAACATTAGTATTGTTTAAATTAGTTTTGAGGCTAGCAGCGATATCTAAGACACGCATTCTGTTCTATTTGGGACTCGTCTGCTGTATGTCCCTTCATCAGCAAGTTGATCTTCGCACTGAAACTCAAACCCAAAACCTATCGCTACAAAAGCCAACGAATTTTTCACCAAACCACTGGATTCAAACTAGTGATAGCTTTTCCCGGAGGGTGCTATACTTATTCGTGAGGGTTTTTTATTCACCTCAGTTAATATATTTGACTGCATTTAATCAGTGTTTATCAACATATGTGCACCCTCAGCGGATACATAAACATTAAAGCTGGTAACGAAAAAGATAATATCGAAACGTCTGCTCAAGATCTACATGTCTCTATAATCAACAACTGAATAGCGCTTACAAATATTGCTTTAATTTCTTCTGACTGATAGGCCCATGAAAACAGACGGTTGCACATCTATCTTTGGAGATAAATCGCCAATAAAATTTGTCTTCAAAGAAATGAGAATAATATTTAACTATTTAAAAGACTAAATGATGCCACAAGGAAACTGAGTGTTTACTTTTATATTACATCACACAAACTCCTATCTTAAAGTAATTAAATGCTAAAGTTTCAATATTTTTATTAATCCAACTTCAACTGAAAATTGTAAATATGATGAGATGATAGTAGGACATCGAAGACTGTGCTATCTCTGAGTAGGAGGCAAACATACAGCCTTTATTCAACAAAGATTCTATATGTCTACCTAAAGAATTTCAGTAATAAAAGTTATATCGGTTTTTGATAACGTGATATTTTTATATATCGCAAATACAAAATCCTATAAAAGCACCATCTGATACAAGAAATATTATACTTAGAACCTTCTAATATAAACCACTGGTCAAATGAAATAGCGATACATGCGATTAATCAACCTAAAGCCTGAGAGCAAACAAACAACTAATTACATATTTATTAAAATCCATTAAAAGATTCTAACCCACCGACTAAGTTGCACGAAAAACCTCCAAATCAAATAGTGAAATATATCTGTAAGACAGAACTCAAGTCCTCAATTATTAAGGCGTCGATGACGAATCAAAAGTATAGCCAATGAAAAATTATCTCTACAATTTAGAGAACACCACAAAGCTGTGTTAAAATAATCAGGCTATCTGAAAGAATAAATATTTTTAGTAAACAACACATATAATAACAGTGAAAAGGAAATATTAATACATATAAGAAGTGTAAAATGGATTTCAAAACACCTTGAAAGTAAGAAAAACCTATGAATTATCTGCTTTCATTGATTTAAAATAATTTCACCAAAAAAAATTCGGGTTGAAGTTAGACATTGACACTGGTGAATGCCGGCCAGCTCATTGGTCAAGTGGTTAAACGCTCGCGCGCAAGACTGATACGTCCTGGGTTCAAATCTCGAGTGGCGGGATCGCGGATGCTCACTGCTGAAAAGCCTCATACTAGAATAAAACCGCCGTGCAGTACGTTCGGGTTTTTCATGGTGGTCTAGCTTCAACTGACTCATGAATTCAATCATTAAATTACTATAATATCCACAAAAACCATTCTCTGATTTTAATATGTGATATTGATCATTCAATATTGAACTACATAGTAAAATATTTCTTTGGTTGATGTATTCTTTTTAAGTCTGTTTTTTTTTTGAAAATGCAGTCTAATATGCGGGCTTATTGAATGGTCTTTATGTACACAGAAATATTTGTTGAAATGATTATTATAGGAGATGTTTCACTTTCTTTTTGTTTTACATTTTTAAACTTAGTATCTATTCAATGAACTTATCGATAGTTTTCAAATTTTATTTTTTTCCAGAATGGTGATACTCTGGTCAAAAAAGAAGAATTCCCTCTAATTACCGTATTAAGTGATTCACATGATGGGTATGAGATATATATCTATTAATCGGCTTGAATTGTCTACCACTTAATTATCAATGATGTGACTACTTAAATAGGAACCTTAACTAATATTTATTTAGTATTCACGGTTTTGTTATTTGATTATTACTACTGGCAAACAATCAGTAGCCAAGGTGCCTAAACACAAAATATTCACTAATAATATTCAACTACTGAATACTTGAAAGCTTTTAACTGTAAATTTGGAAATTTCGACAATCATTTACTCGTAATCATCCAGAGATAAAAGCTTAGACCATATATATCCCAGCCCTACTTTTTCAAGGATGTGAATCAGTACCTAATAAGGTTTGATTATTTCTTCTTGGATATAAATTTAATATCCAAAGTTTTCATTAACTCATTTACTGTACGTCTCATTGTATTAGTGTAGATACAATTCCTGTTAGAGTTAAATATTTAAAGATTATTGACATCCATAAGTAAGAAATATCATTACAGTAGTAAGACATGGATAAGAAGCCGTTAAGAGTAAGATTATCAATTAAATAAACGTAGTAATCCCTTTGAGATCGTGGAGATGATTTGTAGCTCAGGTGGATGATTTTGGTGGAGTTTTGATCTCTGAGCTCAGAGAACAACTCAGTACTCCCTTACTTTACCATCAAGTTGAATTCTTATAAATTCAGTTATCATATATTTCAATAGGATACTCTATAGTATTCGGTAAATTCCTATCGTGTATTCACTCAGTTTTGAATGCGTTAAATATAAAATTCATCTTAATTTAGGAATACTTAGATGTAATTAGTAATTGCTAAGACTAAAAACTATATATAAGGAATGATATTTTCCCATGAAATGTATTTCTTGAACGCTACATACTTGACTTTGTTTTCTTAACCGTCAAGGGCTTGGTCACGGTTATTGGGCGTATAGTTTTCATCAGTAATTGCTAATATTGTCAACGTTGCTCAGCCATATAATAACAGAGACCTAAATAAGCTACTTACGCACTATCCTCTCCCATAAAACAAACTTTCCTAAATCTAAAACATAATTCTGAATTACTTAATCAGATGTCTACCATGTTGTTCTCCGTTGGTTAACTCTGATAAACAGAAAAAAATAACTATACCAAGTGTATTTGGTAGTCTGAAAACCCTATGAGACAAATGATTCTTGTTATTTACAGACAGGATATATAAACTTATTGAGTTTATATTGTATACACAATTCGTTATCATTAAATCTTCTGTATCCTCTTATATAGCAGACATCTTCCAATGAAGTTACTTATGTTAAAGTCTAAACATGATTTCAAGATTCAGCAAGTTTCTATGTTCTAAGTTTCATGAAAATATTTAAAGAAGCTATTAACCTAATGACATTGGCTTAGATGTATGTGAATAGATCAGCAGTAATAATATTAACAAGAACATCAAGAAAATGTCTTTTTAACTCGTAGGGAGTAACTGAAATCTAAGGTGTAGTATGTTTCCTTTCAAGATTTCAGTTGAAACTCAATAATGATCTCAATAGTTGAAATCATGAGTCAACCGAAGCTAGACCACCATGGAAAACTTGGAAGAACTGAACGTTCGTTTCATCCTAGTATGAGACCGTGGATGCGCACTGCTGAAAAATTCCACAATAGGATGAAACGGCCGTCCAAAGCTTTCAGGTTTTCCATTATGATCTAGCTTTAATTGACTCATGGTTTCAACTATTGAAATTAATAAAATCTCCACAAAACCCCTTCTGTCAATAATGATCATTAAGATTTTTTACAACGATATTTTAGAATTTCTGTCGAATTACACTGTAAAATTGTTAATGCACTAATTGGTAACTGAATAGTTATAATTATGGTGTTTATCTAATTCTCAAAGCTAACCTGACTCTTTTGATCACCAAGCTAAGAACTCGACACGGCAACATATCATGTTTTAATTAGTAAGTAACTGAAGATTAATGCCAGGATACTGTGAAACCAAGTTCCATGGTAACTGACACTCGTTAACAAAGTTTATCTACAATTTCCGAGTGAACTTATCACCCAAGCGAAACAATAAATAATTCTTCTCCATCGATTAACAACTCTTGTAATATCCAGCACTAGGACTTTATTTGTTGATTTCGTCTAACTATCTAACTTCTTCAATGTATTCAGATGGGATGAAAATTTCAGAAATATATATGAATAGTCTTTTATTTTATCTACCGGGTTTTATAAACTTATTCTGACTATCCGTTTTTACATTTATAGTATCAGTGAATTCAAACGATTTGAGCCGGTAAGTGGTTTCTATACGTTATATTATTGAAATTAATTTTAGCTGAACAGAATTCGATTACCATTTTTAATTAGTTAACTGATAGTTAAGGGGAAAAAATAAGCGTGTCTCTAGTAAAGTCTGCTTCATGTATTTTCACCATAAATCATACTTACAAGTAACTAAATGATTTAGAATTGTTAAATGTCAGTGACTAAGAACTCTAGATATAAGGCCAGTGTTAGTTGACACTAGTTACCAAAGTGTATTTAAAATCTACCTGAGAAAGTGTTAGTTGTGGTCCAGAAACCTCAGCGGTAACATCTTTGAATGTGATATTGAACAAAGCGAGTTTGAATCCCTTTGAGTTCAGCAGTCTCCTCAGGAATGAAGATATACTGTGCTAACGCAAAACTGAACACTAGACTTCCTTAGAACTCGTCTAGCATCACTTAACATTAAACGTACTGCACTGTTAAATTAAATCGCCACTACCTTTTTTGGATTCCGCTCATTAATTATAAGTAAACAACTCAACAGTAATTACTGCTGAGAGGATAGAGAATGTAAATCTTTGGTTTGAAAAGGATAAATAAAGAAAGGAACTGGACAATACTTCATTTCGCGGCTGAGTTATAAGAAGCTGATACAGAAAATTATCATATAGTATTGACCAGTGTCTGGGTAGAATAATTATCATATCAACCTATAGAGATAAACATTAGTTATTCTGTTTACCGCATTTATAAAAAAATAACTAGTATTTTCATTCAACGAGTTATTGATTATTAATGTGACAGAAATACCCCAGTTGGCTAAAAAGGAATCGGAACCAATTCATTTCACAATTGGTTGATCACTGGGTGGTGATTAGTGTCATGTGTGTCACGTCCTTCTTAGTGCAGATCAAATCCTATCGACCAAGATGCATTGTGGCTACTAGTCTAGGTGACTCAACATTGCGTAAACTATGTTGAGATAAGATGGTTGTTGGAGGTAGTCGACAGGAAATCCTGGACCCAGGTTTCGTGCTGTTTGGCACTCATCAGCAAGGTGTACCAGTAATCTTCAGGGAACTGATGCTCCCTAACGGATTCGATTCCGTGATACACATGACACTGATCACCACCCAGTAATCAGTCAATTGTAAATACATCTCAGTCCTACAGGAGGTTGGTCACTAATCGGATAGCCTAGTGGTAACGTGTCTGATTGTGAAGCTGGGTGACACAGGATCGAATTCATCGGAGAGCACCAGTTACCTTAAGATTACAGGCGAACCTAATCAATGTTTCCGTGATTAGTTACTACAACATTTCTAAACAAAAGATCCCTGAAATATTGGTAAACACTCAATAATATATTTTTAAGAAATAGTTTATTCCCAATTCTCACTGAATAAATTAATAAATCTTTGCTTGTTTGAACTAGAAATATTCAAGTTCCATCATTGAAATATCTCCTGAAAACCAATCCATCGATGTTAAGTAAGTTCACTTGTTCCATTGAGATTTACATATTTTTATTTTTATCTCTTTATACCAACAGCCATCTTCTAGAAGACACTATCATGATTTGAGATAGTTATGTAATTACAGTGAACACTTGATGGAATACTCAATTAGGAGCGCACAATTGGTATGAACCAAATTCACTGTACATTATAGACTATGATAGAAAGTTAGGTTGTACTGTTTACGAGAACAGTTAATATACACACTTCACTCATTTGTGTGTTAACAAAACAGGAAATCTAATGCAAATCAAACTAACATACCTCACAATCTGAATAATGTTGTTCAAAAAACTCCTTTCATTATTCTCTAATGATTTCGTTTGAACATTACTACAAGTTTTGCTATTGAAATATGTAGATTAAAGAATACAACATCATCATAAGATACCATAAGAGTTAATATCTATTTAAATATTGATTTTGTAGAACATTATCACTTGTTACCTTACTACATATTGTTATATACTCATCTTGATATCTACTATAACATCATCAGCTGATGATGTCAATCAGAAGAACGATGAAATCTCCACGACTAAACCATCAAGCTCAGAGAACAAAACTCTATCAAAATCATCCACCTGAGCTATAAATCTTCTCCATCATCTCAAGGTAGTTTACTCTTCACACTTGTCACATTACATTCAATGATAAACATTACGAAGCATTGATCTTTACATTCTGTAATCGATTTTACACTAATCTATTAACTTTTGTATGTAATGAAATAAGATGTAACTCAACATGTAGTCTTTTAAAATAAGTATTAGTAGAAATCAAGTATCTATGGACATAGTTTCCATTGTGAACTTTATAGATTACAATAAGTTAAAAATCACAATATGCTACTTAATTCTACCCTTAAACAAATTTCATACATTTAGTTTCCTTGACAAATTATTCAATTTATTATGAAGGAGAACTGAAATTCTACATGTACTAAGGGATCAATCTGTTTCTGTTCTTTTTTATTAACCAGAAGAGAAAACAACATGTTAATAGGATTAATGAGTAATGGTACTCTAGGATCTTGATATCTATCTATGTAACAAGAGTCGAATATACGGAATGTTTATCAATGATTATCCTAATGGTTTTTTCCAGTTAGAAGTATCGAATAAGCAATAAAGGAGTTTAAATATAAAGTTTTAGATAAGAAGATAAGTCAGTTGAAAGAGATTACCAACTTGAACTAACTGATGTGCAATTAATTGTGTTACGTAATCTAAACGACTAAGAATGGTTATTCTATTAAAATCCCAATATACTTCAATGAGACTATAGTTGTTATTCACTTATAGTATATCGATTGTATTATTATTTCAGTCAATAACTTTCAATAATCTCACGCGTTCCCTAATTAACAATTACGAATAACTTTAATAAAGACTATATTTTTTTAGTAGTTGAGATCATGAGTCAATTGAAGCTAGACCATCATGAAAAACTTGAAAACACTGGACGGCCGTTTCGTCCTATTGCGAAACTCCTCAGTAGTGCGCATCCATGATCCTGCCTCGCGAAATTCAAACCAGAGCTTCCAGGTTTTCTATGGTGGTCTAGCTTTAATTAAATCATGATCTCAACTATTAAAATTACTATAAAATCCACAAAAACCCTTCTGATGCTGTTTTTTGTTTACCGAATTAAAAACCATGTTCTATATAAATAATTGCAATTATACATATCTTGTTTTACAATTATTTATTTGACAGTATGAAAACCTCTTCTGCAATAAAAACAGTAAGTTTTCTTTGATTGTTTTCTTTTATACATAACCAATTATTTCCTTAACCGACCATTTATAGTGTCATCATTGAGTAAAATTTGTTCATCACTTTTTACGTTGAAAATTAAAACTTACGCTTGTTACTCCAAATGGAACATAGACCGTCAACCAGAATTCTCTAACACACTATGTTCTGGGCCTTCCTTTCTAGTTCTATTTAATTGTTGTTCATTCTTCACATGTCTGTCTTCATTTCTCAGCGTAATGTGTTCTTCGGTCTTTATTTTCTCCTTTGGCCTTAAGGATTCCATGTGAAGGCTTTTCTTGTGACGCAGTTAGGTGCTTCTAACGCTTTAATTCGACTTAATATTTAATTCATTTAATGACCAATTAATTTAACTCATCTCTAAACTTCGTTTAAAATAACGAGATTAATCATATTACCGTTATGGGGTTGTGGAGATTGAATTTCAACGAAATCATAAACCGATCAATATTAAACCATCATTGAAAGCCATGAAGCATCAGACGGACGTATCGTTCTAGTATGAGACTACTCAACTCTATATAACCACAATCCCATCAGCGGGAACCTATGACCTTTGGTTTCACGCCCAAACCCTTAACCTCTAGATCACTGAGCCAACATCAAATACAGTCAATGTCTAAATCTAAGCAATCCATGATATTGTGTGATCATCTATTTTCTCAGTTGAATTAGTGCTTCACGCTGAACACACATTAGATCCACTGGTCATAACTTCTCACTACGTCTACGAAAATTTCCTCTCAAAGTTCGTCACAAGTGAGCATATGATAATTTTCATTATGAGATTGTGGAGATTGTTGAATTTCATTTCAGGTTTTCATTGATTGTCCAACTTAATAAAATTTATCATTTTTATTAGGTCCAACAAATTTTAAATGCCAAATAACTCGTCAGGGAATTTATAATGAAGGGGACGAAACGGCCGTCCAGTGCTTCCAGGTTTTCCATTATGGTCTAGCTTCAATTGATTCACGATCTCAACTATTAAAATTACTATAATATCCACAAATCCCGTCCATAAATTAATAATGAATTTGTTTATAGCCTGTTCACACGAATTTAATTAATAATAAATACATAGTTGTTTACAGTTGAATGATCTTCAAAAAGTTTATTGTCATAATAGGCTCTTCAGAGTTTAATGTTGAAATCCTTAACTCTTCACCAAGAAACATACTAAACATTCCAAAGAATTTCTGTCATTTCAAATCTAGAATAAAACTGTCTGAAAACTCGAAACATTTCAAAGAATATGACGTCATTTAAATTACTTTAATATGACTCCAACAGTGAACAACGGACACAGTACAGTTAGGTTAATTAAACAAACTCATTATATGGTTTCTAACTCATTCCATCTCTTGATTTAGAAATGCCTTCAAATTAGACTGAGATTTTTATAAAAAAATTCGAATTTAATAAGAACAGCTGTACGCTCATCAATACACTGATCGTGAGATATTTTCAGGGTTTTCAATGAAATCCATACTCAACACAAAATGAAGCTCGTGCTACACAGAGTAATGATTGACTCTAGTAAACATGGATTATCGTGGTTCTTCTACTTTACATTAGCTTTATTCATTTAAAGCTGAAATCAGTTTACAATAGGTTTTTAATGTTAAATTACATTGATAAGTCTTGCAATTTGAACGCTATACTCGGTTCCTAAGCTATTTTGGTAACCCCCAAGCTAGAACTATACAGCGACCTGAACACGAGAGAGGAGGCGCAAAGTATGCGAAAGTACTTTACTCCAAAGGTTCATTTTAATACAGAAAATAATAATATACAGAATATAATATTTTAAATGTCCTTGGGTTGCTCGAAGATTCTGGAATGGTACTAAACACAGTATAGCAGTCAGCCAATCAGAACCTCTACATGTGATGTTTCACATCCTTGATGTTTCTGGCTAAAGCTTCAAGTGAGCGCTGATTGGATGGAATGCTTCTTAGTGTCTCCTGACCCTTGTTTGTCTTTTGCCAGAAAATTCCTGGATCACCCCAACGAACATCAAACTGTTATCAGATCAATTAAATCAAATAAAATGTTTATTTCTCTAAAGTCTGATAACTTTGAAAACTAATCTAACCTTATTAGAAAAGATTACATCATAAACTGATTCAAGACTTTTATTATGAAATGAGGTTATGTACTAATCAAGGGGTAAGGAAGAAAATAATTTATGGGTCAGATATGAAGAACAACAAACATAAAGGTCATAATAATAAACTGAATAATAATCAAGCAATAATAATAATTTCAATAGTTGAGATCATAAGTTAATTGAAGCTAGACCACCATCGAAAACCTGGAGGCACTGAAATGCCGTTTCGTCCTACTATGGGACTCCTCAATAATTATAAAACATATCTTACCAATAAATTATTTTCTTTCTTACCCCTTGATTAGTACACAACCTCATTTGATATTTAGTCTCGAATCAATTTATGATTTAATATTTTCTATCCTCCTATAGACCTATGTTTTCCATATAACTAACCTTGTTAATTAATTTTTTTTCTGTTTTATCTGAATGTTTCTCTTTGTTGTTTATCCCATTTTATTTTATTCTACTAATACTTGTTATGTAAATATGTATGTATGCATGTATAACAATGATTATGTTGTTATCATCTTCTTGATTGTTACAAATATATAACACTTGAAAATTTCATATATTTATCATAATAAACACAATATTGATCTTGTTATATAACTAATCCATTGGATGACTGATTTTCTTCATTCTCTATATCTTTTATTATTAATAATTTAGCACCGTTGCTGTACACAGTGTACAATAATATGAAAAATTATGAATTATACTTTTTTAAGTAATCTAAAATTATCAGAAGGGGTTTTGTGGAGATTGTAGTAATTTCAATGATTAAGTGCTCGCGCGCGAAACCAGTAGGTCCTGGGTTCGAATCTCGCAGGGGGCGAGGTCGTGGATGCGCACTGCTGAGGAGTCCCATAATCGGACGAAACGGCCGTCCAGTGCTTCCAGGTTTTCCATGGTGGTCTAGCTTCAACTGACTCATGATCTTAATCATTGAAATAATCTAAAATTGTTAAAATTTAAAATATATATGAACTGTATGTATGACGGATGATGATGATTATTGTGGCGGTGGTGGGAAATATTTAGACCATAGGACAAAACACAAAAGACTCCATTAGAATGAATGGCGAGACTATAACTTATGGACGAACCAATCAGGTATAAAATAACAGGTTTCAGATTTTGGCTCAAAATTCATTCATTCATTTCGATAAATAGGGTTTTGGCATTATAGCTGATGTCAGTTCCTGATGAAAACCATACATCTAATTTTTAACTTTAATTACCAACTGTAAAACATAATTCTAATTCCTCACAGGTTCATAATCTTCATTTAGTCCTGATTATTAAGTGAACACACGCAAGGTCAGTCTGGAGTCGTTCAAAAGTCATCTATAAATTATAGTCTCACCGAATGAATTTCACCAGTTGAAATATACTATACAAAAGAGTCAAGTTAAATCAAGAGTGAAGATATATGATGATCATATATTTGTATGACATAATGATTTAGTTGATAAGGTTGTGAAGATTCGTTTGATTTGTGAGTGGTTGTTGTGACGAATGAATATCAGTCGGAATAACTCTGAGAACAAGGAAGCATCTGTAAAATATTTTATATTAATATAAATTATCAATTTTAAATTGACTGAAAGAGTTCAGCTAAGTGAAATAATCATCAATTTAGTATGTGATCGCTAGATTATTACTCTATATCGTGAATATAATCCAATAATGTAGGCCATTATGTTCCAACCCTTATTCTCTTTCTCCCCAAAAGAGCCTGGATCCTAACTCTGGATAGATTGTGGCGAAACCTTTCTGATGATCTCTGACTTTTATTGATATTGATGTTAATTAGTGACGAAAACCACTTTTAGATACCATTACTTAATCATTATTTCAGTGTGTCAATTGTTCATGTTCAATACACTTGACGAATTACATTGATCAAAATATTCTCTTAATCGAGTTATCAAATCCCAGTTATTCGGATTCTTAGCACTGATCGATATTTAATGGACGAGAAATGAAACAACACTTTAATGTGTATGTTTTTGTTATCAAGTTACTGAATATCATATTGTTAGCAAAGATAGAATAGTTACCGACACCGAAACAGTTTCTTATTTTATCTTATGAATAATGTTTACATAGTGTGACTTCGTAATAAACTATTGTATTAGTAAGAACAAATAAAATAACCACTACAATTTTAAGAAAATAGTCAGATAAGTTTATAATATGTCTAATCACCATAAGTAGTGAAGATCCAAAGAAACTTTAAACAGAAAGCTCTCAATCTATATTAAAGGATTTTCGAATTATTAAAGTGATACGACATTAGTTATCAATGATAACAAATTAAGCTAGTGCATTTTGCATTATACCATTTCATATACAATCTACATAAATCCATGAATCCTAATGCTTATTCATGCTTCTTTGTGAATTCACTGACACGATTTATAAGCACTCAATCATCATGTTCATTCAACCCAGTTTTAGACTTAAAACAAAGTTGTTCTAGTCTTTGGAAATCTCTTTCAAGAATAAATAATTTAGATGATTGAATCGTTTAACGGTCACGATAAAATAATCTATTTAGAATTCATGCACGTTACACAAGTGAGAAGCTATCTCGACTCAGTAGCTAAGTGGATAACGCTTTGCCGTTTGAAGCGATATGTATTGGGTTCTAGTCTGTGGATAAACATCAATTTTAAAATGTAGGCACATTCAGCTGACCAGTTCATAATCCTACTTCTGCCAAGCCAATAAAACTATGATCCACTGATGTCACTTCAATCATAACTCAGACTAAAGAGTTGTAACCAATTTAGTTCGATATTCCTAAAATCAGTAATGTCACGTTCCATATTGCAACAACCATATAATCGTATCATTCAATGATTACCACATATGCCACAAATACTCTTTTCAGTCTTCCGTTTTATACATGAAAGTGTTTTACATAAATTATTCTCAATATTCTTTTTATTGCTATTCACAGTAGTAAACGATATTTTTGGTGCATGTGATATGAATCGAATCTTGAATTAAGTGTCGTGTATAGATAACAGAAAGCTATATTGACCATACTGAATGCATGAATCACATACCAAATATATGTAGCCTCATTGTCTTTAGTCTTGCCAATTGTACATATTTACCTCATAACTTCTTTCCTCTTTGTTTCTCTCCTTTCTTTTAGACTATTCATAGAGAAAAAGAAACAAATGAATCATGTAATAGAAATATCCCAGAAATATTTATGAATAAATCATACGACAATGATACCACAGTAAGTGTAAGCGATGAATTTTTCATTTATATAAGTATGTTACTTAAAATTGTATTTCAGTAGTTTCGTGAACTCAGCTAAATAAACAGTTTTAAACTTCGTGCCAAGTGACCATTGTCAATTTATTAAATTAAATAAATAAATACCTCAAAATAACAGATTATATTTATCAAGTTTTAATAATCCCACTGGTTTCGCAACTCAATTTTTAAACAAAAATTTAGATTTTATTTTACTTAGAGCATTTTCTCTCCATTTATATATTGTTCTGTTAGATTATGTGCTGTAATATTTTCCCCAGTGAATATTCATTATCATTTGTTATTAGCAGTCATTCGTTGTACTCTAAAAGACGAAAAATGTGATGTGATCTCGAGGTTATTGATGGCACTTTTTGAAAACATGGCATTGAGGTGTGATATTGTAAAATTGGATGAATCATACATCTCTTGACTTATCATTGATAACGACTGTTTTACAAATAAATCTACAAATGATTTATTTATTTATTTAAAAAAACTGCCAGATTTTATTTTTGTTCTTCATCACATCATCAACACACTCATCACTGATATCTCTATATATCTGTACTATAAGGAGTTATGGTTAGTGAATGTACAAATTTTTACACACATTTAACCATAGTGTTTTGACTTTGACTAGGAAAAAATGTATAAACCTAATAGAAAGGCGTATAAAACTTATTTGTGAAACATTACACCAATGTAAACTTCATTCTCATGATGAACGTGTAGGTTTGTATGAGTGATAAAATCAATAGCATATGTTTTAAACTCTTTAATAGAGAATGGAAATCCAGTTATTGTAATACTATTTTAAGTAGGATTTGAGGTGACTGACAAGAATAACAATGAAAACTACGGAGCCAAGTCTTTCATCAACTTAAAAAACATTGCAACCTTTTATGTGAATCAAAGTAAAGCTTTTTTACTGTTATCTCAATACATTTAGATACTTTAGAAGTAATCTATACAATCCTAATTATAATCACTATAACTCAAAACAACATGGGGAACTATTTCAAATCTAAAGAGTTTTCACCAACCCTACGATTAGAACAAACAATTAATTATTACTTTTTAAATTCTTCACAGACTTTTTTAAATATCATTTTAACTTTAGCAAAGTATTTCGAGGGATTTGGCAGAGCTATAAACGAATAAACAGATATAGTTTTAAAACTACATCTTATGTTATTCTATCTAGCATAATCAGAGCTTCAGTTCATTGGTCAAAAACACATTGATGACGTAATATGAGTTGATTACTTCTAGTTCTTTTGATTGAGGTTAATTTCTAATAAATCCATATCATCTACCATAGTTTAACTCGTTACCCTTTTTAAATACCTCATATCTTTTATTTTATATTTCAGTCAAATATTTCTTCTGAATTTGATACCAAAAATTACAATACTGTTAATATTTCCCCATCAAAACGACAAATTATCAAAATATCAGAAGAAGTTACATCCTTACATGAAGAAACTAATGTGATTAAACACATTTCAGATGATAATATATCTCAATCTAATTATAATCAACCTAGGCGAAGAATATCACTACAATCACCTGGACCAACAATTTTTATTGATCGACGACATAGTAAAGGAAATCGTAGAAGTAGTACATCTTCAAATATTACTGAACTTTAATAAATAATCAATACATTGTGTATTACATAACATTAATAAACATTTATAATATTGATTTTTATAATCATAATAATATGTAACATGATGTATGATATTTTTTGTTCTATTTTTAACATGATATATTACTGAATTACTTTTAATGTGTTCAACTTAGATTCAATTTGTTTTATCAGATGATTTATTATTATTATTATTATTATTATTATTATTATTATTATTTTGAATGAATTGATATTTCGTGTTTGCTTGTTTGTTTGTCTGTTTGTTTTTCTTGATTATTTGTCTTTCCAGTTCATCAATATTTTCTTTATGAGTTCTAGTACTAAGGTTAATGTATAAAAAAAATACTATAAATGTAAAAGGAAAGATTGTTGAATAATTCGATGAATAATTGTTTTCTTAGGATAAGGAGGGAAGGCTTTGAAAGACTTAGATTTATAACGATCATGAAATTTCGTATATTCAGGTAATATTGAAGCATTTGTTCATAGTACATATCTACCAACAGAGATTGATTAAAATCCAGTGAAGAATCTCGATAATAAGAAAACATAGACTTATGAAATTATAATATTCACATCCATGGAACTGAATAGGAATCATTATGAACTCTCTAAGTGGATAATGAGTCAGGATCTGAAGTGATAGGTGTTGAGGTCTAGGTTAATTAGTAGATGAGTCTCAAATAAAACAAAATGGGCATCCTGGATTTCATTGTCTTAACACAACCTGTAAGATAATCACTTAAACCCTAAAATATTTTAAATAACAACAAAAGTTCATAAAAAGGGATTCTACCAAAAGTATATGCCCCTAAGAAGTTTTAAAATAACAGAAATATAAATTCTCATTTATGTTAATCGATTAAATTAATCAAAAATGGATAGTAGCTAGCAGTGGAATCCAAGACGTGTGTTTGGTCCTGTTGGGGGCTTGTCAGCTGGATGTGCCTGCATCTCAAAGTTGATGTTCACTATGTGACTAGAACTCAGTATCATTCGTTTCAAACGACATCGCGTTATCCAATTTGCAATCGGGTGAAATTTAAATTCACTTGGTATTGTCTGCATAAATCTTCTCATCGATGTTTAGGACTGATCATAATTAGGTTTATTTTACGAGATTTTTGTTAAATTAAACAAAATGAATATGGAACAACAGTATTTCGACCAAATTGGATGCGGATCCCCTTAAAACGTTAATTGATTGGAATTAAAACTGTAAAGTTATAGTATTCATTATAAGTACCACATAATTGGGAATTTAAGAGATCGATTCTGGAATAGATCAATCGTAAACAACTAGATAATGTTGTTTGCTGTCATTAATTATTCATGCAATGTAGTTTCGTGATGAATTTAACCCTTAAATAATACAAAACATTCATTAAAAACCATTCTGTATTGTCATCATCTTAGAAATCTACGAATATACCGAAAACAGACATATTCTTGTAAATTCCAAATTCATTTTTGTGTGTACATATGTGTCAATATTCAGTTAAATCTATACAGAAAATATACAACAATATAGCGTTCACAATGATCTTAATTATGATGATTTAATTTCATTAGTAACCAACCGTAAGTTAAACTAATTTAGCTAATCTACCGAGTTAGTACAACAAATAATTTACGATTACAATAATGTACTACTTATTGGTAGTTGAACGTTCTATTAGAAATGTTTTCCTAGTTTTACTCCCATCTAGCTATTTAATTCAAACTATCATTACTAAATTATCTGACTTCCCCCCGCCACCTTAAGATATAGACTTTAAAGAAATTCACATCATCTAGTCATAATAAAATGAAAACGATTGAAAACTAAATACCATATCATAGTTTTGTTAGAATTTAAAAGACCTTGGTACGTACATATATTCAGCAGCTACAAATTTTCAGACGATCCTATAATCATTAAGTCAACAAGTTAGAATCCGACACTTAATAATGTAACCATTTCTGCTTGATTTAAACCTTTTTCAACTTATAGAAATCTTTATAAATCATCCAAGACCGACACTCATCTAACATAATCTATTATTCCATTTAGAAAGCTCCAAGTACTAGGAATAGCAAGTACATATGAAAGACGCGAAAACGTCTGATAGATTTTTCGAATATATCACTCTAAACTTATTTCTGAAAGGAAGCAAGCACAGCTTCCATGTATCTAGAAATGTTTGATGCAATTCGAGTACCTCTAAAATGTACAAAATAGTCAACGAACAACAAATATTAACTTTATTCCGGTTTGTTGTTGCTATCATAATCAAATGTTTTAGACCTAGTCTATGTGCACAGTAGAAAAACGTGATAAGCATATCATTCAAATGATTACATTAAAAGACAATTATATTGTTTTCGTTTCTGTGGACTTAATTTTATCCGATGAATGATCCTACTGATATCCACTCATTAATTTAATTTTTAATTATATGAATCTATTATTTAATCACCTATTATTTATGTGATGTATGCCACCGATGTTGACAGATATAAGTAGTATGTATCATCAATCGAAAGTGAAATGTCTGGCATCACAAGGTTAAGAAGATCGAAGAAAAGAGAACGCGAACAAAGAATGATTGTTGTGTAAACAAAAGAACAATGAAGTCTGAGACCAGTGATTCACATTTTGCAAATGAAGTACTTACTGTATGGTTCTCAGATTTTACTAATAGATTCTGAAATTTTGTGTTGAAATATATTCAATTATCCCCACTTGTGTTCTCATTCACAACACTTCCATTACGATTCTAAAATTTCTTATTATGTTTATCATAATTAGTAGTAACTAACCTAATTATTAATGATCAGTTGTCTTCTACTGTTTATCAGAATATTTTGTGGTTGTTACATCAATAAATGCACTCACATTCCCACGCCAATGTTCACACTAGGACTCAAACTTAGTACATTTTGCTGCAAATACTAAAGACATGATCATGACGGTATAATCCATACCCTTAGTAGTAATGAAATAAGAACAACACATAGGTTGAACAAATTTGTGACCATCCAAACTCACGAACTTAGCAAATAACACTGGTGTTAAAAATGAAATGAAATAGACTCGAGTTCAGTCTGAACAATAACACTCGGATTCGGATACATCCAGATTACCAGTCCCAAATGGAGTGAAATATGCATCACGAGTTTCAATGTTATCCCCATTCCGTCTTTTCTAAAACAAAAAACAATTGTGACAAAATGGCTAGATCTAGGGATTTTTCCCTAGAATTCACATATCTCACTCAACAAAGACTGATCAAAATTCAATCTTCAATATCAACAATGTTATTCATCTATTACCTGCTATAATTTGTTCATCTTATTACAATGAAAAAATTTTACAAATCAATTTTTGCGTTACACATGTAGTGCGTTGTCCGCTTGGTCATAATTGTGATTGCTTATAATAGTAATAATAATAATAATAATAATAATAATGCAGTGGGTTACTTATATCCACCTAAGTAGTATATAACGGTGGTCAGGCATAGAATGTATTTCAGCAAAAGATCGATAAGGAAAGAACGAAACAATGAAATCTGAGACAATGGACTGATATTTGCTAAAGGAACAGTCAAATTTGAGACGATGGATTGGTATTTTGCAAATTAACTATTTACTACATGGTTCTCAGATTTTATTGAGATGTTCTATAATTCCGTGTCAGAAACATTCAATTGTCCCCACTCGTGTTCTTGTTCACTACAATGGTAATCATAATAATAATGCTACTAGCTAAAATATGCCCATTACGCTCTTATATCAATTAATCAATCCATAATTATTGACAGATTACATAGAGAAAAGCGTAAATGGGTTACATCTTACTTAGAATAATGTATGCTACAAATTAATTGAATTGCATTAATAATAATAATTTTGTCTAAAAGTTTTTCAAGTCCATCGAACAAATTATTCACACATTTTTTCATTGTATTAATAAAACAATTGAATGAAGAAGAAACCTACACACACACACACACACAAAGTGAGTAAATGGGTTCAATAATAATTAAGTCAAGACACTTCATAAGTCCAATGTTAATTGTCGAAATGAATCTATCCGATAAATTAATTATTTATGAATAAGTACTTAATGACAGAATTTAATGATTAAAGTTTATTTGTAACTGGTTGACATAATTTTGTAATCTCTCTCTCTCTCTCTCTCTATATATATATATATATATATATATATATATATATATATATATCAATACTTTGCCTACTTGGCAGCTGAAATCGGAAAGGAAATCACCGTATTTCGTCAAACTATTGATCTTCAACTAATTCATATATGCATCATTTAAAGCCGCATTTTCCGATGGTATTTTAGTCGTTTGACTGATTTGTAAGCAGATATAAATACTAAAAGCATCTTTATAAGCAAAGAAGGATAGTGTCTAGCAGTGGAATCCAGGACGCGCGTTTCGTCTTGTTCTCTGAGAACAAAACTCCATCAAAAGTAGCTTGACTTATTTGATGGTACGTATATCCAAATGATTACTGATTACAAATCTTCTTGATTGATGCCCTGTCAAAATAAAAATTTTTAATCGGGTTTTTTTGTGGTGTTAATTAGCTAAAAGATCTAAAGCAACAAAAAATTCAATTATTTAATTCTTCTTAACGTCTAATAACTCTTTATCTAATACTAGTCTGTGACTAAAATCATCTTCAATAGTTCAGATAAATTTTAAATTGAATTCAACTGTTTGATATTAATCAATCGTTGGTACGTTTACACGTAACTTTTTTTTAAAAAAAGAAAGAAACATTTATTCTGGTCAAGTGTGAAAAGAAGCCTCTATACTAGTCCGAATAAAAAGAGAACAATAGAAAAATGAACAGATCAATAATTAACACGTCATAATGAAAACAATTGATCATACATAGCAACAAAAAAAGCAAACAAAACAATCTATTAACCGTTATTAAACACTGACAGAATACAATTTTAAGTATATTACATGAATCATAATG